GGAACCGGTAGAGGCTGTAAAGGTGCACGCAGTGAAGGACTTGACTTCACTCGTTGGCAGACTTCGCATGCGCGAACATACTTTCGCACAAACTGATACTGGCGGGGCCAGTAAAAGTCTCGACTTACCGTGAGATATGTTTTCTCTCGGCCACGATGTCCTCCTATAGGAGCATCGTGATACTCGAACATGATCCGCAAACGCAGATCAATATCATCTGAAATGACAACACGTGGTGTGTCACCAGAAACGGCTGTATAATACAGTAAACCGTTACGAGCAGTGTATCGATCTGATGCAGATCGATACGCAGACGACAATCGTTTCAACGATTCTCGAGATGGTTGGGAGAGATGTGTCAACAACTTCACTATCTCACCATCTTGGGCGTATGCCCGCCTCACATCATCATACAACGTTGTAGATGGGACTGAGGACGTCATAACCGCAACAGTGACTGTCTCACTGTTGGGTTTCGCGACTGTTTTAAAGTCGGGACGACGTGAGAGTGCATCAGCGACGACATTAAGTCGTCCTGGTTTGTACTCGACCGTAAAGTTGTATTCTGCAAAGAATGACAACCACCGCGCCATTCGTTGTGAAAGGTGCGGGCTGTTCACTGCCGTGCGTAAGGACGCATGGTCAGTGTAAACAACGAAGGGTCTATCTCCTAATAGATAGACTCTGAACTTCGCGAGTGCATACTTCATGGAAAGGAGTTCCTTGTCATGCACTGGATAGTTCCGCTCAGCTGGTTGCAGCTGACGCGACTGATAGCAGACGACGCGTTCAACGCCTTCAAGATCGTACTGCATTAATGCACAGCCGATTGCGAAATCGCTGGCATCACAGACCACATGAAATGGCCTGTCCTGATCGGCAATTGCTAGGACTGGGGATTATATCAAGCTCTGCTTGATACCCTCAAAGGAGCGTTGACATTCAGCGTTCCATAAAAACCTCTCGTTCTTTTTCAACAAACGAGAGAGGTGTACAGTAATCTCGGCGTAATTGCGTGAATACTTGTGCAAATACGCCGCTAGCCCAAGGAATTTTCGAAGACCTTTGACATCAACCGGCACAGGCCAGTCGGTGATCGCCTTGATCTTTTCGGGATCAGGACGTACACCGTTCTTACCAACGATGCACCCAAGAAGTGGTATTTCGCTTGCTGCAAATATACACTTCTTGAGGTTAGCATACAATTGATGCTTTCGCATGATTGTAAGAACTTGTCGGACGTGGTACCTGTGAACCTCAACGTCCGACTTTCCATCCGTAGCTCGACTATGGATGAATACATCATCGAAATAATCGGCGCGAATTCTCGTACTGGTCTCAACAGATGTGATACACATCTGTTGAACGTGGCAGGGGCATTACTGAGCCCTTGTGGCATAACTAGCCATTCCCAGAGCATGCCGCTAGGCGTGCTAACTGCGGTATAGGGTATATCCCGTTCCCGCATAAGGATTGGATAGAAGCCATCCATCAAATCCATGGACGAAAAGATGGTACTCTTTGACATACCATCAATGATTACGTCCTTCCTCGGTATCGGCGTCTGAGCCGGTACCGTTGCAGCGTTCAATTTGTTGAACGCGTGCACTATCCGCCACCCTCCTGTTGCTTTTCGCACACAGAAGGTCGGAGAGCTATGTGGGGAAGTTGATTCCCTCACATGGCCTCGCAGCTAAACGATCGGCAAAGAACTTGTCGATCGCAAGTACTTGTTCACGAGGCAGTGGCCACTGCTTCATGACACAGTACTTCGAGCCTGGTTTAAGCTCGACCTCGTGTCGAATACCTTTATCCTTCGGTAATTCGCACGGAACAGTTTCAGGGAATACATCCTTGAATTCAACCAAATCTTCATAGAGAGGATTTTTCTTGAGCGATTCCCATGATTGGGAGTCATATCGCTCAATTCGTGTCTTTTCATCTAGGACACTCTCGTCCATAGATGAACTACTGAGAACTCTCTCGTTCTCAGTGAACACTGTTGCTGACCTTATGTCGGTTACACACTCGTCGTCAGCGACGAGTACGCAGATCTGCTTGACTTTGCCACTACGCAGATCACGCAAGAACCTTTTATGTTCGAGCGTTGGCAACTGAGTGATCTCCGAAGTTAACTTCGGAGGCGCAATCAGATCAAGTGTATAAGCGCCTACACTTGATCCGTTATTGACTATGACATTCAATGTCTCTGTCATTTCCTGGGGACTTATTCCCTCAGGCTTCGAAGGACTTATTCCTTCGTCTTCCCGGGGACTTATTCCCGCGGGTTTAGGGGAACTTATTTCCGCCGTATTTGTAATCTTGGGACTTATTCCCTTTACTTCCTCTAGATGGGGTTGCGCAACCACAGCGAGATCCTCTACGAAAGACTCTCCAGTCGATCTAGGATTATCGTTTCGCTTAACCTGAGCGATCGATTGTTTCTCTTCTAGATGTTCCCCGCTAGGGATACATCATTGTTTCGGTCCACTCGACTTATTCGAGTGGTGGACCTTCGGCGCAGCCTGTGTTTCCTCACAGCCGCCGGAACTTTGCTCCGAAGTGTAACCGTTTGGTACACTAAGGTTTCGTGCAGTCGTACTAACGACCGTACCACAAGTGAGGCCATCGCACTCACCCGTAGTACATCCACACGCTTGTGGACGCTCCAAAACGTTCATCAGATGGCCATCTGATGAACAAGCGGCAGGCATCGTTACTGTCCGATGTTGCCAGTTTACTCGTGGTTCGTAACTTCTGAGCCACGGTATTCCAAGGATGACATCAAATTTGTCATCCAGATCCAATACGATAAAGTCATCGTCATATTGGGTATCTTCTAGCGTATAGTGGATCTTCACTATACGCTTCATGACGGTTACGGATGCGCCTGTCTCAAGACGTACCGTCATCCTCGTAGGAGGTGTGTCACATTCACTAAACTTGAAGTGACCATCTTCTAGCGATTGGCGTCGCACAAAATTGTTGGAAGCCCCACAATCGACTAGAGCTCGAAGGGACAACTTATTCGTCACTTCGAGTTTCAAGGTAATGAGTGAGACCTCATTACCTAGAGCAGCAACGCACAACGTTTGTGTGTTGGGAGCAACTTTTATCAAGAGGCCTACAAATTCTCTTGACGTTGCTAGACCAGTAGGGTGCTCCGCACCTACTGATCCTGTCCGTTTTTTGACGGTCCATCCCGTTGTTGCGTCTTTGCACCAACAGCGGACCCTCGTCCCTGCCCCTTTCTCATGGGTGGACGGTCACTACGCCCAGTGTCGCGAGACACTGGACGAGGGGCACTACACTCGTAAGCGTAGTGTCCTGTCTTTTGACATCTGTTGCATCTCTGCAACTTCTTGTAGCCTGTAGAGCGAGCCTTCTCGCTCTCTACATAACAGAGTTCCATCGGCTCTGGACCTCCGTTGTCATATCGTCTCGGTTGACGATATGATGTCGAGCTGGCGCGAGCCTGTCTCAGACTGAAGTCTTCCTGCTCCGCAATTGAAATGGCTTGTTCTAGTGAATCTAGTTCAAGCCGGAACAGGTGAGTCTTGACGGGACCATCCGCAAGACCCTGCATGAACACCGAAACCAACGTGTGTTCATCCACCGGATTGGAACTTATACAACTCGTGAGATGTCGTATATGTTGCGCGTAAGCGTGCACATCACGCTTACCCTGCTTGAGCTTCAAGAGTTCGGTTCGAGCTCTGAACTCAGCTCTAGGCGGTTCAAACGTTTGTCTGAGCCGCGACTTGAAGACTTCCAACGACCCAAACGCATATGGGTCGTGCAGCTTGAGCCCCAGTGCCCAAGTCTTGGCACGTCCTGCCAGATTTGACTGGGCAAATGCAACTTGCATATCCCCGTCGTCGATGCGACGCGCCCTTATGGCGTCATCCAATTCGACGAACCATCTCAAGAGGGAGTCTTCTTCGACCCCCTATACTTTGAGATGTCAATCTTCAAAGTCTCGGGCCGACGCGAGTGCATCGACCCGCCAGCAGCAGCCTGCTGCTGTCTCAACAGTTCAAACTGTTGAGCACCTTGTTCTCTCAACAACTCTGCTTGTTGAGAACCTTGTTGGTGAAGCAAGGCTACTTTCTCGCGTTCTGCGTCAAGTTCATTTTGAATGAACTTGGCGATAGTAGCATGTTGGGCATCTCTATTGAGAGCCTCTAGCATGACGCTAACAGCATGGATGCCCATGGTCGAACCCATTCGTTCAACCGCATCCCATTCGACATCGCTCAAATGGGAGTAGCCGTCACGCGTAGCGTGAAAGCTTTGGTCATCTTCATCATCCAACATATTCATGTTGGATGTGAACGCGGTCCTTGGACGGACTACAAAGTGCTACCAGGTGTAACGGGGCACCCTGAAGCTTGTACTGGTGACAGTACAAGCTACTTATTCTGATAACAGAATAAGGCGGTGCCTCGTAACTTCACGTACACTCGTACGTGCAGAGGAAGACGGTAAGAAGAAGCGAGTACTTGGTTAGAGTAAAAAGTAGAACTGTATTTATAATAGTTAATGTCTGCAATAAATCACTATTTATCTTCATCTAACTATGTCTAAATACAAATGTGTAAATCAGTTATCTGCTCACCACTCATTGCGTGCGTCTGTCGTGGCGCGTCTTCGTTGGTTGATATAATGGCCTATATCAACCAATTAGGAACTACTTGGAAGTGCTACAGAATATTGTCCTTATGACAATATTCTGAGAATATAACTCTTATAGTTATATTCTATTAACAATTTCTTATAAATTGTTATGTAACGATTCACCCCGTTACAACGCAAAAAAATAGTGGTTAAGATAGATCGCTTCGCATTGACGGGACGGCACAACGTGCGACGACTTCTTCGGTCCATAACATCTGTTTTCCAGTTTGTAGCAGTAGTCATCGCCAAAATATTTTAACCAATACCGTGGCTCACAAAAGAAAGGAGAGGGCACAGCATTGATCGACAATTCGTAAATAGAGATGGACGTGCTGGGGAAGATTGTACAGGGCACGGGCTGCGCCGTGGACGGCACCGCGGCAGCGCAGAATCCGCTGTCACGCGCACTGGATAATGTGGTGCAGTCTCATGTGAATACTCATGAATCCCGCAGGTCTGTGCTACCGTACAGTGCACCCAGTGAGCTGCAGATGCAGATGCAGCGCTCCAGGATGGCCCAGGGCGCTGACTCCCAATTTCTCGCAAACTTTGAGCGTGAAGCAGTCAGTCGCTTGCAAATGGAGGCAGCCTTCCGATCTGGCAGAGAGCAGCATCAGATGATGCATGGACACCAGGCATCCATGGAGGCGGCTTTCGAGGACGCTCGGCGTGCACAGCTTCAGCACAGACGCAGTGCTCTACCACCATCTCGTTCAATGGGTACAGAGATGATGTACGCGCGTGGCATCCAACACGACGCTGGGGTCGACGACTTTCTCTCAAATGCAATGGAAACCGCCTGGCAGACGGCGGGTAAATCCCACCGGGAAGTTGTGTGGAACGAAAATAAGGTGCCAATACCTATGATTCACCAGCCATTGATGCGCCCTTTTCCGGTTGCTGCACAACAGATAGTAGAGCCAGTGGAGCGGGCGGTAAGAGAGGCTGCAAGCAAACGGGAGTTGCAACAAGCCTCCAGTGAAACGGCGCGCACTATGCGTCAGAATCAGGACCCCAGGTGGCAGAATAGTCAGTTTCTTAAGTTTTTGAATCAGGTCGGCTCGGGTGAAGTGCAAATCGACGAGGAGAAGAACGAGGTTGTCGGTGCGGTCGACGTGGAAGGTGGGCTGGAAGGGGCGTGGCAAGATATCTCTGATCCGCGCTCGATGTTCGACGCGAATTGGCAGCAGGACGTCAAGTTATCTGCTTCCAAAATCGAAAAAGTATTTGCAGAGACAGGTGGGACTTCTGCAGGAATGGGGGAAGTGTGGAAGGAGGCGGGTACGGCCAATGCTACAGGGCTGGACAAGGCGTGGCGCGACTCGGGGGCTGAAGGGGAGAAAGTCATGGCAAACGAGTGGGCAGATAGTAATAACCTGGTACGAGAGCTTCACATCACGACTCGATGCGTTCTTATGTTATATGTGGTGATTTTGTCGACCAGGAAGCAATTTGGGAGAAAGCTATGGCGGAAGCGCATACAACAGATCCGTTCGAAGACGCGTGGGAAAACGCGACAAGCCAAGACTATACCTACAAAGCGGAGAACCCATTTTTGGACGCATCGGAGAATTTTCAGAAAGGCATTAGTTTCTTCAAGTCGGGGCACCTGGATGACGCAATTCTTGCGTTCGAAGCTGAGGTGCAACAACATTTGGATAACAGTGAGGCATGGCGTATGTTGGGTGAATGCCATGCGGAAAATGACGAAGACAAGAGCGCTATTATTTGCCTGGAGCGCGCTGTAGAGGAAGACCCGTACAATCTGAGTGCATTGTTGGCACTCGGTGTCAGCAATGTCAATGAGCTAAATCCGCAGGGTGCGCTGAAAACGCTGAAGGCATGGGTGCAGCACAACCCGAAATTTCACGGACTGGAGATTCAAGTGGATGAGTACAGCGATGGATCTTTGATGGACGAAGTGATGCAACTAATGCTGCAAGCACGTGCGCACGATCCTGCCGATTCAGACGTCCAGGTGGTCCTTGGTGTACTGTACAACGTGTCAAGAGACTACGATGCAGCAGTCGAGAGCTTTAAGGCTGCTGCGGACTCGCGACCAGCTGAATATGCGCTGTGGAACAAAATGGGGGCGACGCTAGCGAATTCGGCTCGCTCATCTGAAGCAATCCCTGCGTACCATCGGTACGATGGGTGCTGTTGTGGTACATACTGTGTATTTTTGAGCGCATCTAACATGTCTGTGCGCGTAATTCTCAGGGCGCTGGAATTGAAGCCGCGCTACGCTCGCGGATGGCTGAACCTGGGGATCAGCCACGCTAATTTGGGAAATTACGAGGAGGCTACAAAGTGTTATCTGCAAGCGTTGAGCCTGAACAATCGCGCAGATCACATCTGGAGCTATTTGCGAATTTGCTTCACGTGCATGGAGCGGTTTGATTGGGTAAAAATGGCGGATACGAAAGACGTCAACCACTTTCGCAGAGAGTTTAAGCTCATCGATCTTTAATTGCGCTTTCGGATCTAGAACGCAACGATTTAGATTGCTCAACGCAAGAAGAGCAACCCGAACAAAGCTTGCATTGTGCGTTGAATCTTGAAGGGGCGTGACGGTTTGCAGAGTACAACATTTTTCGCTTGACGTTTGGACGGGTAGTGTGATTTTGCTGCAAGACACTGTTGGGCTCACACACTATACTTCTACAAATGGCTGGATGCTGTTACGTGTTCCCGTACCACCGCATCCGGCTACTATTGGTCTCAGCTAATCGGCTCATTTCCTCTTGCTCGTCTACAAAGTTGATGCAACTCTTATCCATTAGACATGCAACTGCCATCTGCACGCGGTGCGAAACAGCTCCTTTACTTTATCTCGTCAAGATCCTCCCATTAGACATTGGTATGCAGTTGCATCAATAAACGCCGACTTTTTGCCAGTAAAGTAACCACAGATGGTGCGTCAATGTCTTTGCTTAGCACTGAGGCTGCGTCTTACGTTGCTCTGCACTCACAAATTGAATGCGTGTGCCCAGTGTGTTGAGAAATGTTTTGCCAACATTGGATGACAATACATGATCAGAAAGTCGTGATACACTGACGCTGCTTTCTCCAACGCGAAAGCCAGGAATCCTCTCGCACTGCAATGATGTACTTACTACCTAGTCCTTGTGGCAAACGCGTGAGGCTTTGCGTACGATTACTGGGAGGGGCTGCAAGGAATATCGCGGGTGAAAAACGCCTACAGTCGTACAAAAGTATTCGGGCGTCATTGGGTTGGGCCTGTAGTGCTTCAGCGTCGACCTTTCAAACTCGGAGCTACATCTACCCTTTGGCTTTTATGTTGTCGCAACAAAGCCGCTCATTTTTGACAGTTGAAGCCAAGTAAGCTTAATTTTCCAGTAAAGTGTATGTGAAATCGACGGTGTCATTGTGTCGCGTTAATGCGCATGATGAACTTGCGGAGCGACAAGCTGTCCCAGTCGTTGCACTTGCGCAATCCCTGACTGCAAGCTTGCTTGCAAGAGCTGGCATATTTTCCGGACTTGCGTACTCAACAACAACAACATCAGTCTGCGTCAAAGCCAAACTCACGGTGGATAGCGTGCTCAAGCTTTTCTTTAGAAAAGCACTGCCGATCAGCGGCAATACAGTGGTCTGCAAAGACACTCTTTCCTCGATGTATAGGTTGCAGCTATTCGAGACTGAAACGAGCCCTACTTTGGGTACGTCCCCATGAAAGAGCCGCGTCCGACAGCAGATCACGAGGTCGAGCAGATATTCATGGGTCAGGAAAATGACGATCATCCGCGCGACTTAGAAGTTGGTTTGCAATCGGCAAGCGCATTCAAACTATCACCAAAATAGATACAGATGAAGATGCTGCCAAGCATGCTGTTTGGTGTGACACTGCATTACAAAAGGCTCATAGAGTGCTGGGTGACGTTCGTGCGAACGTATTCAACTTCCTTCCAAGTCCCCCCCCATACCCCGCTCGTCATTAGAGCCACCGATTGGTTGGTCTTACGGCCTACATCTTAAGAAGAGTAGGTCATTGAATATCGTGCAGACGTGTCGCTCACGAGTCACGGTGCAACCGTCGTGGACAAAACAGCTGCTGCGTAAGCTGACGGCGTATCGACCAGCAAAATAGATTACACTATCGGAAGTCGCCTCCCATCCTGTAGCGCCTCAACACGACAGCGAGTTCACACCAGCAACCCCAAGACGTAACTAATGTAGTCCTTTCTTCCATAGGTTTATCTGGTGTAGCGCCACCGTTCATGGCGCTCGAATTAATAGTGCGAGCTTTGCCGTTACATGGAAGTGCTGTCAGCTGCGTCTCCGATCGTTGTGTGCGTGGTGTTGCACTGGAGCACTCGCGTTACATGCGTTGCGTGGTGCCAAGCTGATAGCAGTCTCATTTGCTGTAGTGATTACAATCGGTGTGATATCTAGATATACACAGTCAGCCGCGACTAGACACGAGACGGAGAGTCTTATAGGGTAGTAGTACAGATCGAACCGACCTCATCGCCCATGGACGATACAGTTCGCGATGGCTGAGGATGTATGTGCGAGTAACGCCAGCACCGCACTCGCCACAGCCTCAAGTTTCGATTTGAGCGCTTTTCATTGGTTGTAATAAACACGAGCAACAGGCACTAACCGGTCCATCTCCAGTGCGACATGCAACTTCACAACTGTATCACGTCTCTCGCTCATTTCAGGTCCACATTAACCGATTGATCGCTCTCCGAAACGACCAGGACCTCGCTGCTCTTCTGCGGTGCACACGCACGCACACGGCACACAGACGACACACGTCGAGATGTGGACACTGCTGCTCACGCTGCTACTAGCAGCTGCCACGGCCTTTGTGGTATACGGCGATGTGCTGCTGACGCTGCTGCTGCGCCGGTACGTGGCTTCTATCGTCGGTCCCAAGTTTACCGTTGCTTGGTCCCTCCTCCACGGCTCGCTGGAACTGCGTGACCTAGAGCTGGACCAGGAGATGCTGCCCAATCTGGAGCCATTGGCGGGGCTTCCATTCGGCCTCGAGCGCGTGGAAATGCAGCAGATGAGGCTGGCCGTGCCGCTATGGGGATGCTTGCTGCGGCTCGTGAGCGGCCGTCGCCCCCTGGAGTCCAGACTCATCTTAGGCGGACTGCGTTTTTTCTTGACGCTCGATGCGGCAGAGAAGTGGATGTGGCGACGTGACGAGAACGCGGTTCGCTGCAAAGAGGCAGTGAAGCTAGCGGCCAAGGCGCGAGTGGCGCGTGTTAATGCCTGGACAACCACTGTGGTGCAGAAAGTCAAAGATCTTGAAAATTTGCGGGAGAAAATTCGCCAGGCGCACAAGCCGAAGACTGACAAGGGTTGGGACGAGGCGTTACCGAAGCCTGCGTTCTGGCACTTGTGGGTAGATAAATTGCTAGACTCGTTCGAGTTTTCGCTACAGTCATTCTCGCTCATGATACGTGACGAGTACTCCGAAGCTATTGTAGGTATTGCGCTCGAACGGTTCGAGATATGCCGTAGCAGCAGTTGCGAAGATAAACGACGCAAGCGCGCGGTCTGTTTGGTAAACTACGAAATGTTCTTGAACCCGAAGCAAACAGGCAGTGGTGATGTCTGCCATCTGATTACTCCACTCACCATGGAGGTCGGCGTTTTCATGCCATTTATTTTCCAGTCGCTCATCTTGGGACAAAAAGACGCGGGCACACGCGCGTTTGAACTTGAAATCTCGTTTGCTAACGGGCAGAGGTTTGGAATCGAGCTGCGGCCTGCACAGGCTGGATTGTTACTGAGACTGCTGAAGCCAATCAACTATTACTATGACTGGCAAATGACGGCCTCTATTCAGGATGATCTGGCGTGTGTGCAGCTCACTTCGACCGAGTCCGAGGAGTACATGTTGTTGTTTAATCAACAGTGGAAGCTTGACAACGACATGGGCTTCGCAGCCCGCATGTACGAGGGATTTAAGCAAAAAGAGGTTATTGCCAAGCGGACTGCCCGATTAGATGAATTGGAACTGAAAGTACTAGCATCACGTCTGCTTTATTTGCGCGCGCTGTCACTCGGATTAGAGATTCCGAATGCAGGGAAGCCTCTGCCATTCGTAAGCGAAGAAGATGTGGAAACGGGAAATTTACGCAGGTTCGTAGAAAATCCGGTGAATGCTTACGTGGATACGGCAAAGGTACCAGAGACGCCCCCGATGTTCCATGTCTTCCGACTATCATTTGAAGTGAAAGAGATGAATGTGAAAATGGTCGCGGACAATGAAGATGAGCTTATGACGTTCTTCGTGCGCAAGATGGACTTTGAATTGTGCTGTCAGATCAAAAAGGTCGCTGACCAGGACACAGCTGTCGAAATTGCGCTGAATATAGTGCGCTTTGGGCTACTGGACAATCGTGGCGCCTCAACTAATGTGTTCCGCCAGATCATGGACCGGAACCCCGAAGCTGAAGATATGATGTCGGTTGTAGTCACGCAGCGTGGGGATGGTTATATGGACGTCGGAGTGACCCTCAAGCACTTCTCGTTGTTACTTGTGTTTGACCCATTATTGTACACAATGCACAAGTTCCTGCCCGCGATCAGTGAAGACGAAAAAGAGCAAATGCGATTCATTGCATGCGAGATGGCGGACAGCATGGATTCCCCAGAGGAGCGAGATGCCGCAAGACACGTCTTCGTGGAAGATCTACCAAAACCGTACTCGCCTCTGATCATCGGTGGTATGTCGCTAGGTTGTAGCGTCACATTACAGGGCTGTGAGTTTTGCCTCATCGGGGATTCGAAGACCTTGAAGTCCTCTGTCTTGGCTTTCACTTCGGATACGAAGCTTCGAATTTTAAGCTCCGAGCGCTCCGAAGCCGTAGAGCTGGAGCTGGTTGACGTAGCATTGACTCCGTGCACAATCATTTTGCGCGATGACGGTATTGAACTTGATGTCGGTGACCTGCGAACCATTCTGGAACTCGAAGGTGATGGCGTCGACTTCTCAATGGGGTACAGAGTTTCAGTTGGTTTGCCTCGGGAGTCATCAGAGTCCAGAATCGGAGCGTCTTATGGTACAGGGAAGTCTGCAGCGAACTTGTGGAACGTTGCGAAAAAAGCTGCCGCAAAACAACAAATCGTCGAGGTCGACCACCCCGACATTGAAGATGCTAGCGAGCGATCGTTGGTCGTCCATCGTCAGGATCGCGTAAAAGCTGACGCACGCCGCAAGTTGACGATGCAAATGTCCGACTTTGGAATGAACCTTTCTGCCAATGACTTGGGCGTACTCCTAAGTATTTTAGCATCGCTTAATGACTCTGTGCTGGAAGACATTGAGGTAACTCAAAAGCGCAAAGAATGCGAAGCTCGCATGGAGGCAGCGAGGCGTAGGATCAAAGAGGAGCGCTACACGGAACGACTTAAAGCCGAATTTAAATTGCGCGATATTGATGGCGGGGGTTCGTTGGATGTTGCGGAAATTGGGGACCTGCTTCGTAGCGCGACTGACTGCGAACATTTGACCAAGTCTGAATTCGATGCGACTGTGGCAGATTTTGTCAGCATTGTGGATCGCGATGGGAGTGGCGATGTATCTTTGGAAGAGTTTGGGAGAGCGCTAAGCCGAAACAGGATCTTGTATGCACGGTTGCATCGCAGTTTGATTGGTATTACTGGTCAGGAATATGTTGACCCCGAAATGCAGAGAAACAAAGTACCGTATCTGGCCGGCAATCACGCGAATACTCTTGCCAACGCAGCAGCTCTAACTTCTTTCTGGGAGCGATACGAGGACCAAATTGGCGCGTCGAAGACATCACTGAATGGTCAAAGGCCTGTCATTGTTCAGAAAAAAATGGTCCGTGCGCTTAAGAATTTCGAGTACGCCCAGGAAGCATGGAACAGGATCGTCGATCCGTCATTGGTAAAACCCGGTGAACAGAGCCGTTGGCTGCTGAGCAAAGAGATGGAGATGAACGGCCGAGGAGATTTGATCGATCAGTTGCTGTCAAGTCTAAAGGACGACGCTCACGGTCGGGCTTCTATCAACCCGGGTTCCGTCGGTGTACCACAAATCTTCGTCCAGACAGTTGTTTCTACATCATTTGGCGGATTTTACTTGCGCTTGATTGATGAAATGCTGCCAATGGGACTGCCAGCGATCGAGATATCGTTGGAGGAATTGGGAATGTACGCCAACTTTTCTGTCTGGGAGGGCGAATCGCAGAGCACTGCTACCAATAACCTGCAAGCGCGCAAGCGGTCCACGGACAGCTTCGGAGTCGCTAAAATAAGTTTTGACGTATATGGCAACTATTATAACACAAAGGCTCGCCAAGTCGAACCTTTTGTCGAGTTTTACCAAGGCATCTTGGATATCAGAAAGGAGCCCAAATGTCCGCTGGAAGTCATTTATTCGTCAGATCGCTATTTCCAGTTGAACGTCACGTCCGCGTTTATGGAAGCAGTGAATACAAACATGACTGCGTTTTCCAATGTTGAGCAACGCGCGGAAGCTGAGCGCCCTCACATAAAAGAACTTGGTGGCATTTTCTGGATGCTGAATGAAAGTGGCGTGAACATTAAGTACTATATGGTAGCAAGGAAGCGGTCGAAGGAAAAATTGCAGGAGGAAATTGTGACTGCGGTAACTACTGTTTCTCCGACTGAAGCGCACGCTTGTGTGCTGCTGAATAATGGTGAAGCCGAAGAGTACGAGCAACAGAGTCTGAAGGAAAAGCAGCTGCGGCAAGCATTTCGAGATGCTGATCAGGACGAAAGTGGTGAGTTGGACACAGAGGAAGTACGTGCCGTTCTTCGAAGCGTATTTGAGGAGGAAGATAAACAACGGAAGTCGTCAGGCACAAAGAAGTCATCGGTGTACAAACGCAGTAGCAGCGTTCTAAACAATGATGCTGACTTCACTCGGGCCGTGGAAGACTTTATCGCATTGGCAGATACAGACAAGTCTGGACAAGTTTCTTGGGAAGAGTTTAAGATTGCGATTTCGAAATCGCGTGCTACTGTTGACCGTTATGTTTCATTGGAGATTGAAGGATACCGGACAATCCACGGCGTGCCTCTGATGTCGATAGGGCAAACCCAAGTTTACGAGCTGACTCCTCTGTTTGAAGATATAGAATCTGAGACGTCAATCGCGGACCTGTACGACAGGGGGGTGGCTTTATTGACTCAGATAGAGGAGCCGACCCGTCAAGATTTGCAGAAGGCATATGCCTGTATGCATCGCGTAAAGGAACTGAATCCAAACTACGAATGGATTGATTCTTACTACGGCGACTGTATGCGGCAGTACCTCCCTGCATTGGCAGCCGTCCACATCACTGTTGATGGGTTTTATGGGCTACAAGTGGAGGTCTCCGGAGCCGAGTATGTTCGCAATGGGACTGCTAAAGATACGGAGCTTTTGATGTACGATGTTCAGGGACAAATTGCGCCCTGCAATCCAGAACAGCACAACGGAGAGGAGCGTTTTTTCATGCTACCTGCTTTCGGTACAATCAGCATTCCTTTGAATCTGGTTGACGCCGGAACTTTTGCGATTCGTCAAATTGGTGAAACCGAGTGGAGTGATACGCTGTGTTTGTCCGTCGCAGAGCAACGAATGTACAAGAGGCTGACAAGGTTTGAGCAGCTCGAGGTCCAGAAAGCGTTGCGTGGAGAGACCACTAGCTCTGTCGCTTCTGCTAAACGCGCGAAGGAGAAGCTGGGTACAAATGCTGCTCTCCCAAACCCGAATGAGATTTCACCTACCGGAAAAGAAGTTATATACCCTTCATCACAATGCATCGATAACCAGCCAACGGTTGTGATCGAGAGACTATCCGCAAATGATGTAAAGCTAGGTACATGGTCGTTGACCATTCAGCCGCAGTTGGTGCTTCACAACGTTCTTCCATGCGGCGTCGAATATATGATTGTTCAGCCTGACGATTGTCCGCCCAGTACACTCACCAGCAAGGGGGAGTTTCGTGTCGTAGACAATACCGGAAAGGACAAGAAGTCTCGAGCTGTGAAAACACTGGGTCAGATCGACTATTTTAGTTACGTCAACGATGTAAACAGCCGGAAGATGTACGTGGAAAGCGGCAAGTCGATCCAAGTATTCGGTCTGAACTTGGGCAAATCAGCCTTGATGGTGATGCGTCTTTGCGCAAGTGAGATTAACCGGGCTCCAACATGGAGTGCGCCATTCCTGGTCCACCTTGAAGCGTCTCGCAAGTTGTTCAATAAAGACGTGTTCGAGTTGATATTTGATGACGGCCCGAGCTTCATTTTCCAGCCTCAGTGGGAAGAAAATGGTGCTCGAACAGTATTCTTTTACTCGCCGTACTGGATACAAAATCGAAGTGGGTTGGACCTACGTTTGAAGTTGTCTCGTGGTCGAGTCTGTACTATTGAAGAGCATCGCGCTTTCTTTCCTGGTGCTAAGGACATCCCTTTACTCGTCGCTGCTCCAGCGGAAAAGGCTTTAGTTTGTTTCCATCCATTCCAAGAGACGCCACGCATCTATGAGGGCGAGTCGCTTGTGTCTGGAACTACGAAGAAGTATTTGCCGAATTTTAGCAAGCTGGGGTGGTCAGAGACTGAAGATCTGGCGGCTGTAAGTAAGAAAGGAGAACTGCGTGCAAGTGGATCGGGAAACTACTCATTTGTGCTTGCATTTGAAGTCCGCGCCGCTCCAGCTCAATTTTTTCGGTCGAAGATTTTCGTGATTTCGCCACGATTTGTGTTTTTGAATCACGTGTCGCGCCCATTGCAGATATCTCCAATTTTGCTTGACAAAAAGGGCAACTGTAAGAGATACCATTCTGACCAAAGTAATTGTACCTTGAAAGAAGGTGAAGCCGTTGTGGTGTATCGCGTGAAGGGACCTGAGAAGTACGTGGTAAGCTTGCGTGTTCGTGATATGCCCACAGATAGCCAAGGCGTGGGCGAGTGGGGTGCGAGCATGCCATTGTTCAAGCTTGCGTCAAAACTGAGTGACCCGAATGTGACATTCAACATGTCGGACGAAGCTGCATTTTGGACGCGTGGTAGCTTGGGCGATGGACCTGTGTGTAGTATGAAAGTTCACGAGGTGGCTGAGACAATCTTTGCAACAATAAGCGATATATCGGCCAAACCGAACTATCGTGTTGAGAATCGCTCAACGCGTTACTCGTTCCGGTACGTGCAGCATGGCGTAAAGACCGCTGAAGAGATCGTTTTAGGCCCTTTGGAAAGCCATTCGTTCGCGTGGGAGGATCCAAAGGCAGATTCGAAGTTGCGAATTACGGCAACGCACTGGAAGGTGCCGGCGGTGGTTGACTTTATCCAAATTGGTGAGATAAGAAGCGCGCCACAGGGTCTACACGGTGAGGTGTACATTGACGGATCTACACGGGTGCTTTCCATGGGAGATACCAAAACGTTTTATGATGTCCGACAGCGTGCAACCGTAAGCGACTGGCTTAGTAATATGGTGATTGATGTTTCGATGCACGGAGTTGGAATTACATTGGTGGACGAGCAACCGCAGGAGATATTGAATATCACCATGGAAACCATTCGGTTCGACTCAAAGGCAAGGTCTCGTCGCGTTTCTCTGATGGTTCACCACGTTCAATTCGATGACATGACGCCACATTCCGCATACCCCGTTGTATTCGCTCCCTTGGACAGTGGTTTCAACAGCGACAAGCGTGAGGGGTGGCTTCCGGGCGACAGCGAAATACCATTCTTTACGCTGAGTTGCGAAACACTTCCGCAGAGTGGTATTATTGTTGTCAACGACTTCGATTTGCAGCTTGAGTCAATAGCGGTCAAACTGAACTTGGAATACTTGCTCGGGCTGAGCAACCTTCTTTTCCAGTTCATACCGGGAAGCGACGAAGCTTCGATTCTACAGCAAGGCGTTGAAGCCAAGAATGAAATGCTTGTGCTGAATATCCCGTTTCCCAGTGGTTCCGTTTCCGCTGGTATGCTACTCTATTTCAAGCGTTGGCACATGAGCAAGTACGAATTTGATATGGTGTTTGATTCGTTGCAAGAAGACAAAGGCGAAGGCATTTCTGCAGTGCTGGGCAATACCATGGGAAGTATTGTCGGAGGAATCGCGCATGTGACACCTGTCTTTCACTTCGACGAAATCATCTACCACAACCGCTTTTTCTACGAGTACGATCTGATTTACGATGTCGTTCTGAAAATTGTGTACTCGGTCATTGGTCAGTGGTATCGAATCGTCGGTAGTGTAGAGATGTTAGGTGATCCGGTTGGCCTTGCCACAGACATTGTGGATGGATTCGCGCTTGCTGCACGCCAATTAAAGCGCGATGTGAGGGGTAAAAGCCGTCGGAAGGGTGAAAGTGCTATAACTGTCGTGCAAACTGTGTTTGGCGTGCCTCTGCGATCCATCGGAAAGGTCTCAAACGGGCTCGGTGACGTAGTGAAGAAGGTCACATATTTCGAGAGTCAGGAGGACTCGGATGAACCCCGGCATATCCCTGATGGATTTGTGCAGAGTGGCAAGGTTTTCGGAAAAAGCATTGCGTACGGTGTGACAGGCTTTGTCAAGGAGCCCGTTCGTGGTGCTAAAAGCGGAGGTGTAAAGGGTTTTGCGAAAGGTGTTGGTCGCGGAACGTTGCAACTCGTTGCGTGTCCTGTTGTCGGTACGCTCGGAGTTGTCGAAAAGATGTCGCAGTCAGTGAGCAACACCACGCACCTGATGGATGAAAAACACTTCGAGGGCACTCGCCGACCCGCGAGAAATCTCATGACGGGATCGCTAAAGCAACTTTCCGACTCTAACGTGATCACGGAGGTTGAGGTGCATTGTTTATACGTTGACGGGTTGCCTGACACCGTGAATCCGAAGGCTGTGGTCCGCGTATATTCTCAGACCGATGGCTATCCTGCAAAGGAACTTGGTGAGTACAAATCATCGACTGCGCGACACACAGGCACACCTAAGTTCGACCAGTCGTGGCTGATTGCTGTATCGTCGCTTGACACGTTCATCGAGATCAACGTTTACCACAAGCGGAAACCGCTTCCAAAAAAGCGTCTTGGCTTCGTTCGGTTCTCCATGGAGGACATCTACCGTGACTTTGAGGCTGTTCCTGCGAAATTGTTGGCAGATACGAACGCAAAAATGCAGCTCAAGCGCCGGAAACGCGTCCGTGGCAGTATCATTAGCAAGTTGGCGTCGGCAAGCGAGCGCCCGGTGGAAATTCGTGACGATTCGTGGCGCCACCGGATCAATCATCCGCCCAAGTCGGGTAGCAGTATTTTTTCAGAAGACGAAAATGACGGCTTTGCAAACTACGACCAGGAGGTGAGCATCCTGAGCTCCAGCTCGATTTGCCTCGATGGGTCGTTTCCGCCCTCACCGGTCGGTATTCCGCTGCAGGGGTGCGAGTCGGGGGCGAAGATTTACCTGAGCATCCGATACGTGAATGATATGCGGCGGTATGCATAAGTTAGGCGAAGGTAGTTTGCCTAAAGTAAGTGGGTAACACCAATTTCATTTTTGATGAGGAAGATGTACCGTTCCTGTACGTACTGGTACTCTAGGCACTTTTGTTTTGTGCTCCACGACAGGTGAAGATGGCACCACGACATGTGGCACATGGTGCACTGCAGAGGTGTGTAGTAACTTGTGCGCAGTAGCACCACATCAACCTTCTCATCGTTCAGTCGTCGACTCCTGCTTGTTTCTTGGTTTGCTGCAGATTGCCATACGTCCACACGGTGTCTGAGATCCAGGAGATGAAGTTCTGGCGTGCGCCCGTGCGCGAGAGCCACCGCATCGTTGACCCTGTCAAGCGCGCCAAGAATCACACGTCACGACTCATTAATGTGCAGCTGGCGAAGCTCTCGAGCGTGACGCGGCATGTCTCGCTGAACTTTCCAGCGCTCAAGCACATGCATCCGTTTGAGCAAGTGCGTCTGCTTACGTGACTGTTGACCGGTGGAGCGAGAGAGAGAGTTATCTTACGGTGTTGCTTGGTGATGCTTGTGGGGCCTTGTAGGAAGTGGCCGTGCTCACGTTGGGTCAAGGTGTCTACGAGACGCATGTCCAGCTCTTGCGGCGAGTGTATGCGACACTGCATAACACAGGCAAGCAGTTTGAACGTGAGTGTCAGGAGCTACGTACTAAGCAAGAGGCAGTCGACTGTGGACTGCGCTGCATCGAGGTGGGACATCGTTTTATTGGTAGATCAAGAATGTCATCGAACAATAGACTGTGGTGTTGCTTGTGCAGGAGCTCAAGAAGGTTGTGGACAGCAATACAGAGACGCTGCGGGCAGCCGCGGATATGGCTAAGGTGAGTGCAGTTGCAGAGGTGCATGGGGAAGCTGCCGCTGATGTGTTCTTGCGATCTGCAGATGCTTCGTGGGCTTCCTCACGTAGATTTGGAAAAACCTATTTTTGCCTTTGTTGGAGCCCCCAACGTTGGTGCGTCAGATGACAGGTGCATGTCGTCCCCCATAATGTCGAATGATTGACGTCAAGTTGCCGTCTTTGCCGACAGGAAAGTCCACACTCGTGCGTGCTCTGTCGACTGCTTCTCCAGAGGTACTTGGGCTCTTCATACAATCAACTGCTCTTGCGCCACGGATGCATCTGACGGTCTTGCTGTACAGGTGGCTAACTACCCGTTTACCACACGCGGTATAACGATGGGTCACATTTTCGTCGACGGCATTTCCTACCAGGTCATGAACCAATGACACCTTTCGATTCGCTCACTTGCATCTAATACTAACTCTGATTCCCACACCACAGATTGCGGACACACCCGGATTGATCTTCCGACCCGATGAACGACGAAACTCCATTGAGAAGCTGGCGCTTGCGATGATTGAAAAGACGCAAGCCGTACGTTCTGCTGCTATATGGCTCCAATGTCGCCGCCTGCGTTTATCTGACGCCTGCTGTCCGTGCTGCAGTCAATTGGCTTTGTGTTCGACCCAACAGACTCCTCTGGCACGTCCACAGCGGACCAGGTCCTGCTTCGCAATGAACTTCGACATCGTGTCATGAGAGCGCGCCCCGAGCACAAGTGGCTGGACATCATCTCGAAGATCGACCAGCCGTCGCAAGACCTGCAGCTGCTAAAAGAGCGGTACGAGTGTTTCATCGGACCGCGTGTTCGTTCGCGTTTGCTAACGCTTTTTCTATGTAGAGTCGAATCATCGCCGCACTATTGTGTCTCGGCTCAGACGAATGAGGGTCTGATGGAGCTGGGAAACGGGATGCGTCAAGTCTTAATACACTCTGATGAAGCCGCAGCAGCTTTTATGCAATAAAACTGCGTTTTTAGCATCGTAAATATTTCATGAGCCTGCAGTGGCTTAAAACAATCCACAATTAAGCGTTACGAGCTTCAAAAGGATCAAAGGAACAAAAGCTGCCAGTTGCTAATTTGGGTCCAGAAAGCTAATTTCCTCATTAAGTCGCCCGAAATGCTCGAAAAGAAGGCGCTGGAGGGCATTGCCGCGTACAAGTACAAGGCGTAAGCACAAGCGGAGAGGACTAGAGGATAGAAAGACAGAAGAAGACGCGGTGCCAAGTCTGATGTTCTTTTTATGCTGCTGCTGTAGGGGATCGTACACGTACTTGGACAACGTGCTGAACCACTTTTGGACGTACTCGGTGCAGTTTCTTCCCATTTGGAAGGCGCCCAACCTCGTGACGATGATCGGCACGGGCGCCATGATGCTCACGACCGTCGTGCAGCTTTACTATGCACCGCATTTCTCGGAGATTTGCCCCACTTGGGTGCGTTGAGCTGTAGCTGCTTGTTGACTGGCACGTGACGCGTGCTAATGGCTAACCTGCTTGCCCTCGCGCTGTCTATAGGTGTACGTCCTGTCGGCTCTAGGTCTTTTCTTCTACCAGACGATGGACGCCTTGGATGGCAAGCAAGCGCGTCGTACAGGCGCGTCGTCTCCGCTTGGCCAGCTGTTTGACCACGGCTGCGACGCCTTGTGCACGGTCTTTAATGTCTTGAGTGCTGCTGCCACGTGCCAAGCAGGCCCCGGTCTGCTTGCGTATATTGCACTGTCGTCCGTTTGCGTTACGTTCTATTTGGCGCAATGGCAGGAGTATCACACGGGCGTCATGAACTGTGGCAACGGCTTCTTCGGCGTCACGGAGGGACAATTGACATTAGTTGCAGTCCACTTGGCGGCAGCATTCTTTGGTGCAGGCTTCTGGACGGCGGAACTGTCGTTCGTACCAACAATTTCCGTGACCATGACGCAAGTGCTGCTTTGCGCGCTCGTGGCGAGCAACGTCTTGCTAGCGTATGGCAACGTCTCGAGCGTCCTATGGGCGGCCGCTGACACGATTCCGCGTGAAGAATTGGGTAATAAGCACATCTCGAAGCCCATAGCCCTCGTCCAGTTGGTCCCCATCGGTATTCTTCTGGTTCTGGGCTCGCTTTGGATTTGTGGTCCTGACGCAGAGAACTACGAGAACTACCCCGTCTTGTTCCTGTTCCCCATCGGTATTGGCTACGTGTTCCTTTCGGTACGTAGGGCGCTGTGATGGTGCTGGTGACGCATGTCATTGCGTGACATTTACATGTTTTGGGGTGTTTCTGGTGTAGACACGTATGATTATGAGCCACATGTGCAAGATACCGTTCACTCCTCAGCTTCGCGTCATCATCCCTTTCGGATTCGTGATCTTGAACGCTTACGGAACCGCAGCAGGGATTCTCTCAAAGCCACTGATTCCGACCATTGTGTCGTCGTCGCTGTACGTGGTTTTTATCGTGCTTGTTTACCTGCAATTCATCGTTGGCGTGGTCAAGGACATCTGCGACTTTCTCAACATCTTCCTTTTTAAGATCAAGCCGGTGGCGGCAAGTATTGAGAAATCGAAGTAAGCCGATGTCGACAAGAGCAGTGTCTACGCAACCTAGACGACGGAGGAAGTGGGTAGAACGACTGACGATACATGTGTCCAAGTTCGAGGCAGCTTTCATTGATGATGCAGTTGCAATTTAGAAATCCCAATTCCAGTTGTCCGCCTTTTCACTCGCCGTAGAATTCAGCTTCATTGCACCTAGCGGTTCACGCTTTGCCTTGCTTTTTACATGAGCTTCTGCCCGATGGTCACTTGTCGTCTTCTCTTTTATCGACGACCCGGCAGACGTACTGGATATCGATGTGGTGCTGGTCAAAAGAGAAGATGTACTCAATCTGCTGGCTCCCTTCTGAGAGCCCACACTAAGCCTGTGCGCCTTTGGCGCTGATGCGTCAAAACCAAGGTCGTCGTCAGCACCCCAGTTGTCGTCTGCCCACTCATTGTCAGCAGCGTCCATCGCAAACGTCGATGTCGTGGTTTTTCCCGACATGGAAGACGTCAAATTCGTTGCCGGTTTACAAGATACACTTAGCTTGACGGATGAAGTTGACGAAGACATCGACTTGGACAACGAAGATTCCGCTGCTGACGCATTCGATGATCTGGCCCCACGGTTGACCGATAGCGGCGTGCTGAAACCGGCATTTGAACGCTTCGGACTGTCCAGACCGTCCAAGTCGTCGTCATCATTCCAACCATCTTTTGCTGGAAACGTGTTAGAGCTGTTGTGTTTCGACGATGGCATGGTCAACGAGCTAGCGCCATCGGTTTCAATCTTGGTACTCGGGAAGGAAGTCGAGTGTGACGACGAAGCGGCAGCTGATGCATCCAGCGCAGGCATTGCAGACGATAATGCACCAATTCCAACCAGCTTGTTCACGTTAGACGCCACAGCCGAGGACGCCCAAGCTGTCAGGGAAGACGCGTATCCGGTCGTACTGTGGCCGCCACTTGACGATGGAAGGATGGCCCCATTAGCCCCAGCATCGTCTACGTCACCTAAGGCGTGCCTCAATTCACGTTGTCTTGCTTCTAGCTCTTCCCCGACTTTCATGCGGTCAGCTTCGTCGAGTACTGTCTTCATGAATTTATCCATCGAGATTTTTGCTTGGTCTCGAACTGTAACTGACACATCAAGCAGAAGAGGGGAGATAGCTGGAACAATACTGCTAGCCACACCTTGTGGCGTAAAGTACTCCTGCACAATCGACACAGATGAAAATAAGGAGTGAAAAATCAACCCCACTTACATAGAGCCACCGAAGTTGGACAACTTACTTGGCACGCCGTCATTGAGCGAAGTCCAGCGAGACGCGCATGCGGGAACGGGTCCTTTAGTGCTTTTGCGAACGCTGGAAACAGCACCTTTGGCCTTGTTGTATCATTCAGTTTGCTGGCAATCTTCCCCAAACAAATGGTGGTATTTGTTCGAATAGCTGGCTCCGGATCTGACTATATTATTGATGCGGCAGAGTTACATTGAGAGGAGGAGGGGAAATGTAAGTATATGTAAGCCACGTACAGGTATCTACGTACCTGAAGCCTTGCAAAATACTTCATAACACGGTTGTTGAGGTTGCTATCGGACAACTTGTCTGCGATGTGCAACATCGACTTGACAGTAAGCTCGCGCAGCACTGGAGCTGCGTCGGTAAACCCACTGCACAAGTTATCGAAGACAACCGTACTGTTCACAAGCTTTGCGTCAAAGTGGACCGTAAACTTCTCCATCATTTGCAACAGCTGCACACGGACCGCACGATCATTGCAACTGAATAACTTAATGATGATCGGAAGAACCTCGGCCTTAAATTCTTCGGCGGACAAGGAGCCGCCAATTTGGACCATAGCTGGAAGCATGTGGCTAGCCGACGGGTCCAGCTTTACAGGCCCATTCTTTGCGCCAGTCATTGAACCAAACTCCACGATCTGTTTCAGAGCTGGTAAGATCTTGTGTACGCCAAAGCAGCGCGGTAGCGTCTCGATATTGGCACAAAGCTCTTTGTAAAAAGCCGCCTTCTCATCCGAACTCTTAACAGCGAGGTTCTCCAAAACTTGCATCCGCTTGATAAACGGTGTATCAAAGTAGCTACAGCCCAGCATCTTCTGTGGACTTGGTCGCCGAGCAGCATTAGCGTCGGTGGCTTTGCGAAACTGAGTTCGGATTGCCGGTGGAATATTGGCGCCCGTGGAAATGTCACTTGATCGGAATTGACCGTCATTAAACACGTAGAACATGAGACAAGCAAACGCCCACATGTCGACGCCGTAAGGTGGCCCCGTTGCCACCGCTTTCCAGTTGGAGCGTTGGCATTCTACAAGCGTAGCAATTACAACCACCAACACATCACCATACAGGCCCCATTATCACAACCTATAGTGGCCGCGTACACCCACACACCTGGTGATTTGTAGTTGACATCTGTATACTGTTGGAAAGCCGTGTAAATGTATGATGGCCCATCGCTCGTGATCTCGGCCGTTAGCTCAAAGCCGCCCAACTTCCAGTCCCCACCCTGTCACCCGCCCAGTCCCAAGACTAGACTTAGTACCCGTTTTCAGTCATGCAATAACAATGCTACTACTCATCAGTCAAGCCCTACCTTTGTGACGAAAATACTTTGGGGTGTGAGGCGACCGTGGATGAGTTTGCAGTCCACGTTGATAAACTGCAGCGCCATGAGGACGCTACGCAGTCCCCAGGACACACACATGGCAAATTCTTCGCTCTGAGCTCCGTACTCCATACGCAGCGCTGTAAGGAACTCGGACAAGGGCATGACGTGCTCCGTAACGATGATCACAGGGCCGTTGTTCGGCACCTCAACGCCGTCCTGGTACGCCAAGATGTTAGGATGGCGGAGCGTCTTGATGCGGCGCAAAGCGTTCAGCGTGAGCTGCGTCGCTGGCTGTCGCGACTTGAAAAGAGACACAGAGTGGCACGGGTCCTGCTTGCTCTTGCCCGAGTGCAGCACAAAGTCCGGCAAGCCCTCGAACACGACGCTGTCACCGGCAGCGCCATCTGCCGCCACGTTGCCGTCCATTCCCGGTGTGTCGATCACGTAGGGCAGTCCGCCCGTCGCACTCGAGCCCACGAGACCCCCGAGAGTCTTGAGGAAGTTCATTCTCGTCGCTTCGTCCTGTGGAAATGACACATTCGACGATCACCGCAATGTCTCAGGATTGGTCAAAAATCACTTGTTTTTTTCGGATATTCCTGTGACGTGTGACAACATGGCTACGCTTCGAGAAAAGACCTGACGGCGTCGATCAGGTCGGCCTTCCGTCCCACAACTGCGACGCCATGAGCGTGTAGAAACGCCTTCAGCTGAGCAACCGTCTTCTTCTGTATGGCGTCAGACGTGACAAGCGCAGCCCATTCCTCCCGATCAAAAGTCTCCTCTGCCTCCGGTTGACCTGAACCTCTTTTCACCGACTTCTTCCGTGTTGCCTTGCGCCCTCCAGATATTGAAGACTGGAGTTGTCAGGCACCCAAGCAGCACACTTGTCAGTGACACGTGTACAGTTGAAACTGTGCTTGAATAAGAGAGAGTTACCCACCTTGCGCTTCGCGTTGGTCGACGCATCGATTAACTCGCCGCCACATACTTCTCGGAAATCAGCAATTGCACCCTGTCAGACACAACGAGTCAGACCCAATGACAACCATTGCCTTCTGGTTGCCTCACCTTGACTTCACCTTGGCTAAATCCCTCTGCATCCGGAAGCGTCGTATCGTGCTTATCGTCAAATTCCAGTTCGTCCTCATCGAGGGCAAGGGCTTGAATCGCGGCGTAGTGTTTTTGCAATTCTACACACCAAGTATGGTTTGTTCATCACACACTTCCAGCATCATTCACTCCCGTACCGGCGCACCTGGGTTCTCAAAACTCGGTGCTTCTGCTAGCTTCAACGTCGCAATCAGGTGCTTTGCTGCATCAGTTTTCTCGTGAGTGACTAGAAACACAAAAGCAGTGAGCACCAGCCACAAGCGCAACATCAGTATCCTGTGGGACAAACCGTTTGTGATGGGCTCGACTGGAACGTCGCGAATATCATCCAGGTATGGCAAGAAGATGACGTTAAACCCTGATGGCTGTATCTGGCCCATCTCGTCGTTTTCTTCTTCCTGTGGCACTAGCGCCACGAGTCGGGGTTCGCTTGTCGTTCGCGCAATCAACCTTGCCAATGCAAACTTTTGCTTCTTGACCATTGAGTTGAGGATTGCCATGAAGGCAATGGAGCTTCCTTCGATGTATCCATTACAGGGGTACACGAAATATGGAGAGCGAATATTTTCGTTCCATTGGAGGGAGCTCATCGGCTTAAAGCAGATCAGCTGTAGCCCTGGTGAGTCAAAATGCTTGATCTCCACAATATCATCCCGTGTGAAATACACACGCTTTCCACCATAATCAATGTACTTTTTTATCTGATCCGGTGCCAGGTACGCCCCAGTATCTTCACAGAGCCACTTTGTCTCAGTTTTTAGCGGCAAATTTGTGCTCGCATCAAGAGCCACCGGAGTATTCTTCCGCTGAACGATTACTAGCGCATACAGCTCCACGCCAATTGATACGGCTTTCGTGACTGAAAGAGGAAATGTAGTGAGGCGGCGTTTGCGAAAACGCTTGCGTAGCGACCCGTTCATCAGATCATCGAGCGAATTGACAGGAAAAGCTGGTTGAAATAGTGTTTCATCTTCAGCCTCCTCGTCACTGTCAGATGCTGAAAAGTCCTTGAAAGAACAACCATAGAACCCTGAGAGATCAAAGCTCTTCTTTCCGGGCGGCGTAATATAGAATAGATTTAGTGTGCGCTTAAGTTCAGCGTGGTTCTAAGACAGTGCGAAGTGTTAGCAGCATTCTTATACCTCCACGCCACGTAATACCCACGAACAACTCATTACCTGGACTTGCTTTTGAATGCGGCCTACTTCTTCTGCGTCCGATCCTTGTGGGCTGTTATCATTTGTGAAGATCCAGATACGCTGCGAATCCCTCTTCTTTAAACTACGAGAAGAGCAAGAGACTGGTGAGACGCATCGTTTGTAGTATGATAGAGATTTACAACGCACTTTGCGCTTGAGAAGGAGATTCCACATTGCCACAAAGCGTTGCTAAACAAGAGCTGCTCCGAGTTCTCCATGGACTCGAATTCCATTTGCACGTCGGATTCCAGCAACGCCTAAAACGCACAACATTGGCGTAAAAATCGTGAGCACAGTGGGCACTTCGAATACACAACTCGCAACATCTGTGACAATATTTGAGCGAACCTGAAGCTCCTTGATTCTCTGCGCCGACGGATGTCCCAGCGGGTGAAACTCGTGGACCTGCTCCAATGTACTTGCTTCGCTCTGTTTGTTCTGCGTCCATCAAGCATAATAATCTCAGCATTAAATTTAAGGCAATAAAAACGAAGAGACTGCCCACTTACTGTTCCGAATAGAATGACACTGAACAACGAATTATCACTTGCGATGACTTTCGACTTGAGCAGTTTGATCACGAGTCCCACGACAGCATGGAACCAAGTCGATGGAGAACCTGCAGCAGCGTGTGGATACGGAGCGAACATGGACTTGCGCACATCCAGCAGAACAACCAGAGCATCTTTTCCGCTCTCAGGGAGTTCCCACTCTTCCTCGTCTCCAGGTAAATGCTCACTCGCTCCAGCTGTACTTTGGCTTCCCCATACATCCATTTTAGTTCTTCAGTTGATAATGTCACTAAAGTAGATTTTAAAGGTTATACTAGGACAACCTACAAAGCAGAACGGAAAATTTCGAAACAATAATGGCATCGACAACTGAAAAAATACTGACGAACAATTGTAAGAATAATGTATGTATTGTAACATTTTAGGGGTACTCGTCACTTTTCAGGCAAACAATAACAACATTGTAATAACAAGTTTGTGTGTAAACATTTATCAAATGGTTTATCATGAAATTCATCTTTGACATTAGTACATGCGTCGAAAATATGGCTAGGTAACTGAGTTATAAATTAATGTTTAGTAATAACGTGTTTTAACGCGTCCCATGATGTTAGTGTACTCATAACTCATTCGGCGTGTGTCAAATGGTGCCCCCGTTGCATGTAATTTTACATGGGTTTTAATTATTTAGTATGAATATTGTGTTCTAACAAACAAAATGTTCTCACAATAAAATTCTAGTAGATAATGCTGCTTCACAGATAAAACCAACTGCTCAACGGTTGATATGGTTAATACCAAGATACTAACCAATAAGTTTAGCTACGACAGAAACGCGCAATGAGTGGTGGGCAGATAGCTACAATACATGTTTGCATTTTGACATAGTTAATTAAAGTCAAACGGAAATTTAACAAAAGGATTAACTTCACTAAATACATCTCTACTTTTTAATTTTACCAAGTATTCTTTCTCCATTCAGCAGTCTTCCTCTGCACGTACGTGTACATGAGGTACTTAAACGCACACACCCTTGCACTGTCAGCAGCTCAAGGTTTATTCATCTTGCTGAATAAGGTGTACCCCGTTACACCTGGTAGCACTTCGTGGTCCGCTCATCGAATATGAATATGTTGGACGGTGAGGCGGATGAGTTTATTCCGCGCATGAAAGCTACTTCCATTGAGTCAATTCGAATGGAATCCTTCGAACGTTGGAGTTCGACGATAGGGCAAGAAGCCGTTGGTGCGATGCTGTCTGCCCTGGCGCCAGACAGTCAGCACGCCACCATCGCCAAGTTCATTCTGAATGAGCTTGATGCTAAGCGAAAATAAGGTAGCCTTCCTTATATACGAGGTTTCGACAGACAGAGCTTTTGAGAGAACGTAGAGCTCAGCAGTTTGAACTGTTGAGTAACAGGAGGCTACTGCTACAGGGTCGACGTGCGTACGTCGATCCGAGGCTCTAAAGATTAATATCTAAGAGTGCAAGGGAGCTGTAACGGGGCACCCTGAAGCTTGTACTGGTGACAGTACAAGCTACTTATTCTGATGACAGAATAAGGCGGTGCCTCGTAACTTCACGTACACTCGTACGTGCAGAGGAAGACGGTAAGAAGAAGCGAGTACTTGGTTAAAGTAAAAAGTAGAACTGTATTTATAATAGTTAATGTCTGCAATAAATCACTATTTATCTTCATCTAACTATGTCTGAATACAAATGTGTAAATCAGTTATCTGCTCACCACTCATTGCGTGCGTCTGTCGTGGCGCGTCTTCGTTGGTTGATATAATGGCCTATATCAACCAATTAGGAACTACTCGTAAATGCTACAGAATATTTGTCCTTATGACAATATTCTGAGAATATAACTCTTATAGTTATATTCTATTAACAATTTCTTATAAATTGTTATGTAACGATTCACCCCGTTACATCACCCCCCTTAACCATCAGTCACTTTAGTGACTGATTGACTAAATGGATACTCGTCCCAAATCATTTGGGACAGGGTTTGCACTTGTTGGTCCGCGTCCACTTTCCAACATTTCATCGCATGGTAAACAAACCCATGCGATGCGCGAGCAAGGCCGCCGAGAGCGCGTCTGCACGTCTCTGTGCGGACGCCGAAGCAGAAACAACAGCAACTGATGTCTCATCGGTTGCTGAAGCGACTCAGCCTGTGTCACTTGGTGATGCAGGCGCTGGTCATGAAGACACTCATGTCTTCACAGAGTATGATCTCGGAGTCTCATACTCTCCTGATACGGAAGACGGATCCATATCGACGGCGATTGAAAGATGCCACCACGCGTAGCATCTGTCGTTCGTCTGACGAATCAGATGAACGATCGCCAAAGCGAAGGCGCTCGAGATCGTAAGACTCGGGCGCTAACAGTGGTGTCGGTTCTCCTATTGACACCACTTCGCAACGAGGTGCCAGTACTTCTGTCGGCACGTCGCAAGAAGAGCGGGACCGCAATGTGTTGCGTCTCGCTCCTGAGAAGAAGGCATGGATGCCTCCTAAATCCGTCATGGATCACTTGTCGGCGACGACGAGTGATCGTTATCGAACACGGTTGTTCGATTCGTCAAGGATCCATCACCTTGACCCCAGCACGAAAAACTATCGCGCTGAACATGAATTCTTCATCGATGCTTTCTTTAGACATCGATGGTACAGTGGGAATCACAAGCGTGATGGTCCCTAACTGCTTCAGGCGTGGAACGCCTACATCCATAACCTTGAGGATGTAGGTCGTGACGCTTGGAACGACAAACTTATCAAAGCTCGTGATAAGTTTGAAAAGCGAACCCCGACAGGTGCACGCTACAAGCTGCATCGTCCGTCTAGGGAGGGTGTGTAACGGGGCACCCTGAAGCTTGTACTGGTGACAGTACAAGCTACTTATTCTGATGACAGAATAAGGCGGTGCCTCGTAACTTCACGTACACTCGTACGTGCAGAGGAAGACGGTAAGAAGAAGCGAGTACTTGGTTAAAGTAAAAAGTAGAACTGTATTTATAATAGTTAATGTCTGCAATAAATCACTATTTATCTTCATCTAACTATGTCTGAATACAAATGTGTAAATCAGTTATCTGCTCACCACTCATTGCGTGCGTCTGTCGTGGCGCGTCTTCGTTGGTTGATATAATGGCCTATATCAACCAATTAGGAACTACTCGTAAATGCTACAGAATATTTGTCCTTATGACAATATTCTGAGAATATAACTCTTATAGTTATATTCTATTAACAATTTCTTATAAATTGTTATGTAACGATTCACCCCGTTACATCACCCCCCCCTTAACCATCAGTCACTTTAGTGACTGATTGACTAAATGGATACTCGTCCCAAATCATTTGGGACAGGGTTTGCACTTGTTGGTCCGCGTCCACTTTCCAACATCTCATCGCATGGTAAACAAGCCCATGCGATGCGCGAGCAAGGCCGCCGAGAGCGCGTCCGCACGTCTCTGTGCGGACGCCGAAGCAGAAACAACAGCAACTGATGTCTCATCGGTTGCTGAAGCGACTCAGCCTGTGTCACTTGGTGATGCAGGCGCTGGTCATGAAGACACTCGTGTCTTCACAGAGTACGAGCTCGGAGTCTCATACTCTCCTGATACGGATGACGGATCCATATCGACGGCGATTGAATCAAGCCGCCTCCAAGCGTGGCATGGACGATCTTTGCGTCGCAGCATCTTTGGTTCATCTGATGAATCAGATGAACCATCGCCAAAGCGAAGGCGCTCGAGGTCGCGAGACTCGGGCGCTAATAGTGGTGTCGGTTCTCCTATGGACACCACTTCACAGCGGGGTGCCAGTACTTCTGTCGGCACGTCGCAGGAAGAGCGGGACCGCAATGTGTTGCGTCTCGCTCCTGAGAAGAAGGCATGGATGCCTCCTAAATCCGTCATGGATCACTTGTCGGCGACGACGAGTGATCGTTATCTAACACGATTGTTCGATTCGTCTAGGATCCATCACCTTGACCCCAGCGCGAAAAACTATCGCGCTGAACATGAATTCTTCATCGATGCTTTCTTTAGACATCGATGGTACAGTGGGAATCACAAACGTGATGGTCCCTCACTGCTTGAAGCGTGGAACGCCTACATCCATAACCTTGAGGATGTAGGTCGTGGCGCTTGGAACGACAAACTTATCAAAGCTCGTGATAAGTTTGAAAAGCGAACCCCGACAGGTGCACGCTACAAGCTGCATCGTCCGTCTAGGGAGGGTGTGTAACGGGGCACCCTGAAGCTTGTACTGGTGACAGTACAAGCTACTTATTCTGATGACAGAATAAGGCGGTGCCTCGTAACTTCACGTACACTCGTACGTGCAGAGGAAGACGGTAAGAAGAAGCGAGTACTTGGTTAAAGTAAAAAGTAGAACTGTATTTATAATAGTTAATGTCTGCAATAAATCACTATTTATCTTCATCTAACTATGTCTGAATACAAATGTGTAAATCAGTTATCTGCTCACCACTCATTGCGTGCGTCTGTCGTGGCGCGTCTTCGTTGGTTGATATAATGGCCTATATCAACCAATTAGGAACTACTCGTAAATGCTACAGAATATTTGTCCTTATGACAATATTCTGAGAATATAACTCTTATAGTTATATTCTATTAACAATTTCTTATAAATTGTTATGTAACGATTCACCCCGTTACATCACCCCCCTTAACCATCAGTCACTTTAGTGACTGATTGACTAAATGGATACTCGTCCCAAATCATTTGGGACAGGGTTTGCACTTGTTGGTCCGCGTCCACTTTCCAACATCTCATCGCATGGTAAACAAGCCCATGCGATGCGCGAGCAAGGCCGCCGAGAGCGCGTCCGCACGTCTCTGTGCGGACGCCGAAGCAGAAACAACAGCAACTGATGTCTCATCGGTTGCTGAAGCGACCCAGCCTGTGTCACTTGGTGATGCAGGCGCTGGTCATGAAGACACTCGTGTCTTCACAGAGTACGAGCTCGGAGTCTCATACTCTCCTGATACGGATGACGGATCCGTATCGACGGCGATTGAATCCAAGCCGCCTGCCAAGCGTGGCATGGACGATGCTTTGCGTCGCAGCATCTTTGGTTCATCTGATGAATCAGATGAACCATCGCCGAAAGCGAAGGCGCTCGAGGTCGCGAGACTCGGGCGCTAATAGTGGTGTCGGTTCTCCTATGGACACCACTTCACAGCGGGGTGCCAGTACTTCTGTCGGCACGTCGCAGGAAGAGCGGGACCGCAATGTGTTGCGTCTCGCTCCTGAGAAGAAGGCATGGATGCCTCCTAAATCCGTCATGGATCACTTGTCGGCGACGACGAGTGATCGTTATCTAACACGATTGTTCGATTCGTCTAGGATCCATCACCTTGACCCCAGCGCGAAAAACTATCGCGCTGAACATGAATTCTTCATCGATGCTTTCTTTAGACATCGATGGTACAGTGGGAATCACAAACGTGATGGTCCCTCACTGCTTCAAGCGTGGAACGCCTACATCCATAACCTTGAGGATGTAGGTCGTGACGCTTGGAACGACAAACTTATCAAAGCTCGTGATAAGTTTGAAAAGCGAACCCCGACAGGTGCACGCTACAAGCTGCATCGTCCGTCTAGGGAGGGTGTGTAACGGGGCACCCTGAAGCTTGTACTGGTGACAGTACAAGCTACTTATTCTGATGACAGAATAAGGCGGTGCCTCGTAACTTCACGTACACTCGTACGTGCAGAGGAAGACGGTAAGAAGAAGCGAGTACTTGGTTAAAGTAAAAAGTAGAACTGTATTTATAATAGTTAATGTCTGCAATAAATCACTATTTATCTTCATCTAACTATGTCTGAATACAAATGTGTAAATCAGTTATCTGCTCACCACTCATTGCGTGCGTCTGTCGTGGCGCGTCTTCGTTGGTTGATATAATGGCCTATATCAACCAATTAGGAACTACTCGTAAATGCTACAGAATATTTGTCCTTATGACAATATTCTGAGAATATAACTCTTATAGTTATATTCTATTAACAATTTCTTATAAATTGTTATGTAACGATTCACCCCGTTACATCACCCCCCTAACCATCAGTCACTTTAGTGACTGATTGACTAAATGGATACTCGTCCCAAATCATTTGGGACAGGGTTTGCACTTGTTGGTCCGCGTCCACTTTCCAACATCTCATCGCATGGTAAACAAGCCCATGCGATGCGCGAGCAAGGCCGCCGAGAGCGCGTCCGCACGTCTCTGTGCGGACGCCGAAGCAGAAACAACAGCAACTGATGTCTCATCGGTTGCTGAAGCGACCCAGCCTGTGTCACTTGGTGATGCAGGCGCTGGTCATGAAGACACTCGTGTCTTCACAGAGTACGAGCTCGGAGTCTCATACTCTCCTGATACGGATGACGGATCCGTATCGACGGCGATTGAATCCAAGCCGCCTGCCAAGCGTGGCATGGACGATGCTTTGCGTCGCAGCATCTTTGGTTCATCTGATGAATCAGATGAACCATCGCCGAAGCGAAGGCGCTCGAGGTCGCGAGACTCGGGCGCTAATAGTGGTGTCGGTTCTCCTATGGACACCACTTCACAGCGGGGTGCCAGTACTTCTGTCGGCACGTCGCAGGAAGAGCGGGACCGCAATGTGTTGCGTCTCGCTCCTGAGAAGAAGGCATGGATGCCTCCTAAATCCGTCATGGATCACTTGTCGGCGACGACGAGTGATCGTTATCTAACACGATTGTTCGATTCGTCTAGGATCCATCACCTTGACCCCAGCGCGAAAAACTATCGCGCTGAACATGAATTCTTCATCGATGCTTTCTTTAGACATCGATGGTACAGTGGGAATCACAAACGTGATGGTCCCTCACTGCTTGAAGCGTGGAACGCCTACATCCATAACCTTGAGGATGTAGGTCGTGACGCTTGGAACGACAAACTTATCAAAGCTCGTGATAAGTTTGAAAAGCGAACCCCGACAGGTGCACGCTACAAGCTGCATCGTCTGTCAAGGGAGAAAGGATTACCCTGCCTCTCATGGGGAGACTCGTGCCCATGTTGTGTGAACAACTCTGCACGAGCACCTAAGGAGGCTTACCTCCTTACCAGTCCATGGTGGCGCGTACGTATCTCTACTGAGATGTACGAAGGGATTGACAACCTGAAATCCCTTTACGACCGTGCCGGGAAGACTTTCTCCGGCGGTCCTTCTGCGGCACAGGATGTGCCGCGTCGTACTGCTCAACCAGACCCAGTACGTCAATCATCAGTTGGGAGCGGGGCTCCCAAGTATCCCAGGACGGGGGATAGCCGCGCCACCGGACGAGATAACTCGTCTGACGTCTGTTCACGTCGCGGTGGTTCAACAGCTGCTCAACCAGATAGCGCTGGCCACCGCGAGAGTCCTCTAATGGAGGTGGAGGAGGAGGAAAGACGCTCTCCACACGATCATGTGGATCGGTGTGTTCCCGAGAGCTTCTTTGATCGCGTAACGCAAGGGTTACGCGGCGATCTCGAACATGAGCGGGACAGGCGTCTCCAAATGGCGGACACTGCCTCGAAGCATCGAGCTGAGTTTGCCTTTGCTCAGCTTGAGAACGAGAGATCTCTGACATCTCTTCGTGACGAGCTAAGGGTAGCTCGTGGGATTGCTGATCGGTCTCGGGATGAGATAGCTGCTCTTCAGACCCTTGTTGATGCCCACCATCGGGAGCACAAGGCTCTCTGCGAGGTGCTTGAGCGCAAGGGCGTTCTTCATCGGAAGAAGCAGCGTACTGATGGTACGGCTTAAGCCGACCAACGTAAAACGTGGGATGCGTTCGCATCTTACGTGGTAACTCGATCGTGTATGCATTGCCTAGGCGGTGCAATACACGAAATGGGCCAATGTACTTGGGTAGAAGTTTCCTACTACCCAAGTTAGTCACTACATGCTTTGGTAGATTAACCGTAGACAGTAGGACTAAGTCACCTTTATTAAATAAAAGAGTGTTTGCCCTTCCATTCTTGTCAGCGTTTTGCTTTTGCTTATCCACCGCTTCGGCGATGGGATCTTGCACAAAACGGACTACCGTTTCACGAGCCAGTATGAACTCATCTGATGACTGGTTAGCTTCAGTGTGCTGTGAGCGCACTGCAGCAACATCAACCTTTTCTTCAGTGAGGGCTTCCGCACTCTCACTGGCATCATCTTCTTCGATATCGATGTTATCGATATCGGCATCAAACGCAATGACTTCCTCGTCAGAGCGTGATGAGCGTGAACCAAATCGGTTTTTGCTCGCGCGAGTCCCCCCCCTTAAACCAGGGTTACGCTCTAGTAAGGTGGGTACACGCGGATGGCGCAAGCCATTCACGTAAAACGGTGTATGTGTCGTGGACGCATGCACCGAGTTGTTAATGGCAAACTCTACCATTGGCAAGAACTCACTCCAACTCTTAAAGGAGTGTACGTATCCTCGAAGTATCTCTTCAAGGACACGGTTGGCACGTTCCGTCTGACCATCTGACTCTGGATGATCAGATGTAGACATCTTCAAGCGCGTTCCGAGTGATTTGAACACGGAACGCCAGAAATCAGCAGTGAATCGTGGATCTCTGTCTGATACGAGTTCACGGGGCAACCCATGAAGTCGGAATATGGTGTCGATAAAGACACAAGCACAGCCACTTGCCGTGATTGTCTCTGGTACAGCCACAAGGTGTACCATTTTGCTGAATCTGTCAACAAATACGAGAATACCCGTATTCCCGCGTGCGTCTTTGGGTAACCCGAAGACGAAATCCACTGAGATGGATTCCCAGCACTCAGCCGGAACCGCTAGAGGCTGTAAAGGTGCACGCAGTGAAGGACTTGACTTCACTCGTTGACAGACTTCGCATGCGCGAACATACTTTCGCACAAACTGATACTGGCGGGGCCAGTAAAAGTCTCGACTTACCGTGAGATATGTTTTCTCTCGGCCACGATGTCCTCCTATAGGAGCATCATGATACTCGAACATGATCCGCAAACGCAGATCAGTATCATCTGGAATGACAACACATGGTGTGTCAACAGTAACGGCTGTATAATACAGTAAACCGTTGCGAGTAGTGTATCGATCTGATACAGATCAATACGCAGACGACAATCGTTTCAACGATTCTCGAGATGGTTGGGAGAGATGTGTCAACAACTTCACTATCTCACCATCTTGGGCGTATGCCCGCCTCACATCATCATACAACGTTGTAGATGGGACTGAGGACGTCATAACCGCAACAGTGACTGTCTCACTGTTGGGTTTCGCGACTGTTTCAAAGTCGGGACGACGTGAGAGTGCATCAGCGACGACATTAAGTCGTCCTGGTTTGTACTCGACCGTAAAGTTGTATTCCGCAAAGAATGACAACCACCGCGCCATTCGTTGTGAAAGGTGCGGGCTGTTCACTGCCGTGCGTAAGGACGCATGGTCAGTGTAAACAATGAAGGGTCTATCTCCTAATAGATAGACTCTGAACTTCGCGAGTGCATACTTAAAAAAAAAAGTCCAAATGAAATCATAAAAGGCCAAGGACTAGGATCTACTAAATGATAAGGATGTTTTTGTGTGTTTTGTGTGTTTTGTGTAATTTTTTTAAAAAAATTTAAATCATTATTAAATTTGTTGATATTTGAATCATTAGTTGTTGTTTCAATTTGTAAATTTTTTTTATTAATATAATAATAGTTTTTCATAAAAATTTAATAATTTGTAATAATTAATTATTTACTTATAAATAATATTGATTAAAATTAAGCAATTAATCAAAAATAATATTATATTTTAATTTTTTTATATTTTTATAATATTGTTTTTTTGTATTAATTGTTTTACTTTTATTTTGTGAAGTTTGAATAATTTCAGTTGGCATATTTTTTAAATTTGAATTTAAAAGTAACCATGAAATTGATTTTTTAATTTGTTTATCTTTATTTAAAAGCATTAAAAAATATCTATCTTTTTTTATTTCTTTTTTTATTTGGAATACTTATTGCTTTTAATTTTGGTAATAAATTATTAATTGATTTAAATAAGATAAAATTAGGGTTTTGTTTTGTACTTTTTTTTAAATTGATTAAAATATTTTTAAATATGGTTTCTGAACAGGTTTTTTTACCTTTTTTTAATAACATATTCATAAATAATTTTTTTATTTTAGACTCTTCGTATTTTAGTTCCATATTTTGAGCGGGATGTTTTTCGAGAATAAATTCCTAATAAATCGTATTTTCCACGAATAATATGATATTTTACACCAGGCAAATCTTTTACTCTACCACCTCGTATTAATACAATTGAATGTTCTTGTAAAGTATGACCTATTCCAGGTATATACGTGATTATTGTGTATCGACTAGATAAATGTACTTTAGCTACTTTACGTCTAGCGGAATTTGGTTTTTTAGGAGTTGTATTATAAACTTTTAAACAAATACCTTTACGCTGTGGACATTGTTTTAAAGCTGGACTTTTATTTCTTTTTTGTTTTTTAATACGTTTTTGTTTTTTAAAAAATAATTGATTAAACACAACCCATGTTTTACGTCAGCTTGCTTTAACCTAATCTTGGTCCGTCTTGAGTGGATCACGAGGCGCTTGCGCCGAAGGCAGAGGAAGACGGTATGAAGAAGCGAGTACTTGGTTAAAGTAAAAAGTAGAACTGTATTTAGCATAGTTAATGTCTGCAATAAATCACTATTTATCTTCATCTAACGATCAGTAAGTGGAAGGTCGGTAGTTCAATCCTGCCTGGGGACAGTGGCCATGTGCCGTACCTATCACATGTCACAAGTTCTAGTATCTCCTTGCTCGAAGATTCACTATACGCTAGAATAAACCCGATATGACGATGACTTTATCGTATTGGAATTGGATGACAAATTTGATGTCATCCTTGGAATACCGTGGCTCAGAAGGTACGAACCACGGGTAAACTGGCAGCATCGAACAGTAACGATGCCTGCCGCTTGTTCATCAGATGGCCATCTGATGAACGTTTTGGAGCGTCCACAAGCGTGTGGATGTACTACGAGTGAGTGCGATGGCCTCACTTGTGGTACGGTCGTTAGTACGACTGCACAAAACCTTAGTGTACCAAACGGTTACACTTCGGAGCAAAGTTCCGGCGGCTGTGAGGAAACACAGGCTGCGCCGAAGGTCCACCACTCGAATAAGTCGGGTGGACTGGGACAAAGATGTATCCCTAGCGGGGAACATCTAGAAGAGAAACAATCGATCGCTCAGGTTAAGCGAAACGATAATCCTAGATCGACTGGAGAGTCTTTCGTAGAGGATCTCGCTGTGGTTGCGCAACCCCAGCTAGAGGAAGTAAAGGGAATAAGTCCCAAGATTACAAATACGGCGGAAATAAGTTCCCCGAAACCCGCGGGAATAAGTCCCCGGGAAGACGAAGGAATAAGTCCTTCGAAGCCTGAGGGAATAAGTCCCCAGGAAATGACAGAGACATTAAATGTCATAGTCAATAACGGATCAAGTGTAGGCGCTTATACACTTGATCTGATTGCGCCTCCGAAGTTAACTTCGGGGATCACTCAGTTACCAACGCTCGAACATAAAAGGTCCTTGCGTGATCTGCGTAGTGGCAAAGTCAAGCAGATCTGCATACTCGTCGCTGACGACGAGTGTGTAACCGACAAAAGGTCAGCAACAGTGTTTACTGAGAACGAGAGAGTTCTCAGTAGTTCATCTATGGACGAGAGTGTCCTAGATGAAAAGACACGAGTTGAGCGATATGACTCACAATCATGGGAATCGCTCAAGACAAATCCTCTCTATGAAGATTTGGTTGAATTCAAGGATGTATTCCCTGAAACTGTTTCGTGCGAATCACCGAAGGATAAAGGTATTCGACACGAGGTCGAGCTTAAACCAGGCTTGAAGTACTGTGTCATGAAGCAGTGGCCACTGCCTCGTGAACAAGTACTTGCGATCGACAAGTTCTTTGCCGATCGTTTAGCTGCGGGCCATGTGAGGGAATCAACTTCCCTACATAGCTCTCCGACCTTCTGTGTGCGAAAAGCAACAGGAGGGTGGCGGATAGTGCACGCGTTCAACAAATTGAACGCTGCAACGGTACCGGCTCAGACGCCGATACCGAGGAAGGACGTAATCATTGATGGTATGTCAAAGAGTACCATCTTTTCGTCCATGGATTTGATGGATGGCTTCTATCAAATCCTTATGCGGGAACGGGATATACCCTATACCGCAGTTAGCACGCCTAGCGGCATGCTCTGGGAATGGCTAGTTATGCCACAAGGGCTCAGTAATGCCCCTGCCACGTTCAACAGATGTGTATCACATCTGTTGAGACCAGTACGAGAATTCGCGCCGAGTTATTTCGATGACGTATTCATCCATAGTCGGGCTATGGATGGAAAGTCGGACGTTGAGGTTCACAGGTACCACGTCCGACAGGTTCTTACAATCATGCGAAAGCATCAATTGTATGCAAACCTCAAGAAGTGTATATTTGCCGCAAGCGAAATACCACTTCTTGGGTGCATCGTTGGTAAGAACGGTGTACGTCCTGATCCCGAAAAGATCAAGGCGATCACCGACTGGCCTGTGCCGGTTGATGTCAAAGGTCTTCGAAAATTCCTTGGGCTAGCGGCGTATTTGCATAAGTATTCACGCAATTACGCCGAGATGACTGTGCACCTCTCTCGTTTGTTGAAAAAGAACGAGAGGTGGTTATGGAACGCTGAATGTCAACGCTCCTTTGAGGGTATCAAGCAGAGCTTGATACAATCCCCAGTCCTAGCAATAGCCGATCAGGACAGGCCATTTCATGTGGTCTGTGATGCCAGCGATTTCGCAATCGGCTGTGCATTAATGCAGTACGACCTTGAAGGCGTTGAACGCGTCGTCTGCTATCAGTCGCGTCAGCTGCAACCAGCTGAGCGGAACTATCCAGTGCATGACAAGAAACTCCTTGCCATGAAGTATGCACTCGCGAGGTTCAGAGTCTATCTATTAGGAGATAGACCCTTCATTGTTTACACTGACCATGCGTCATTACGCACGGCAGTGAACAGCCCGCACCTTTCACAACGAATGGCGCGGTGGTTGTCATTCTTTGCGGAATACAACTTTACGGTCGAGTACAAACCAGGACGACTTAATGTCGTCGCTGATGCACTCTCACGTCGTCCCGACTTTGAAGCAGTCGCGAAACCCGACAGTGAGACAGTCACTGTTGCGGTTATGACGTCCTCAGTCCCATCTACAACGTTGTATGATGATGTGAGGCGGGCATACGCCCAAGATGGTGAGATAGTGAAGTTGTTGACACATCTCTCACAACCATCTCGAGAATCGTTGAAACGATTGTCGTCTGCGTATCGATCTGTATCAGATCGATACACTACTCGCAACGTTTTACTGTATTATGCAGCCGTTACTGGTGACACACCACGTGTTGTCATTCCAGATGATACTGATCTGCATTTGCGGATCATGTTCGAGTATCACGATGCTCCTATAGGAGGACATCGTGGCCGAGAGAAAACATATCTCACGGTAAGTCGAGACTTTTACTGGCCCCGCCAGTATCAGTTTGTGCGAAAGTATGTTCGCGCATGCGAAGTCTGTCAACGAGTGAAGTCAAGTCCTTCACTGCGTGCACCTTTACAGCCTCTACCGGTTCCGGCTGAGTGCTGGGAATCCATCTCAGTGGATTTCGTCTTCGGGTTACCCAAAGACGCACGCGGGAATACGGGTATTCTCGTATTTGTTGACAGATTCAGCAAAATGGTACACCTTGTGGCTGTACCAGAGACAATCACGGCAAGTGGCTGTGCTTGTGTCTTTATTGACACCATCTTCCGACTTCATGGGTTGCCCCGTGAACTCGTATCAGACAGAGATCCACGATTCACTGCTGATTTCTGGCGTTCCGTGTTCAAATCACTCGGAACGCGCTTGAAGATGTCAACATCTGATCATCCAGAGTCAGATGGTCAGACGGAACGTGCCAACCGTGTCCTTGAAGAAATACTTCGAGGATACGTACACTCCTTTAAGAGTTGGAGTGAGTTTTTGCCAATGGTAGAGTTTGCCATCAACAACTCGGTGCATGCGTCCACGACACATACACCGTTTTACGTGAATGGCTTGCGCCATCCGCGTGTACCCACCTTACTAGAGTGTAACTCTGGTTTAAGGGGGGGAGGGACTCGCGCGAGCAAAAACCGATTTGGTTCACGCTCATCACGCTCTGACGAAGAAGTCATTGCGTTTGATGCCGATATCGATAACATCGATATCAAAGAAGATGATGCCAGTGAGAGTGCGGAAGCCCTCACTGAAGAAGATGATCCCAGTGAGAGTGCGGAAGCCCTCACTGAAGAAAAGGTTGATGTTGCTGCAGTGCGCTCACAGCACACTGAAGCTAACGAGTCATCAGATGAGTTCATACTGGCTCGTGAAACGGTAGTCCGTTTTGTGCAAGATCCCATCGCCGAAGCGGTGGATAAGCAAAAGCAAAACGCTGACAAGAATGGAAGGGCAAACACTCTTTTATTTAATAAAGGTGACTTAGTCCTACTGTCTACGGTTAACCTACCAAAGCATGTAATGACTAACTTGGGTAGCTGTAAACTACTACCCAAGTACATTGGCCCATTTCGGGTATTGCACCGCCTAGGCAATGCATACACGATCGAACTGCCACGTAAGATGCGAACGCATCCCACGTTTTACGTTGGTCGGCTTAAGCCGTACCATCAGTACGCTGCTTCTTCCGATGAAGAACGCCCTTGCGCTCAAGCATCTCGCAGAGAGCCTTGTGCTCCCGATGGTGGGCATCGACAAGGGTCTGAAGAGCAGTTATCTCTGCCCGAGACCGATCAACATTCCCACGAGCTACCTTAGCTCGTCACACAGAGACGTCAGAGCTCTCTCGTTCTCGAGCTGAGCAAAGGCAAACTCAGCTCGATGCTTCGAGGCAGTGTCCGCCATTTGGAGACGCCTGTCCCGCTCATGTTCGAGATCGCCGCGTAACCCTTGCGTTACGCGATCAAAGAAGCTCTCGGGAACACACCGATCCACATGATCGTGTGGAGAGCGTCTTTCCTCCTCCTCCACCTCCATTAGAGGACTCTCGCGGTGGCCAGCGCTATCTAGTTGAGCAGCTGTTGAACCACCGCGACGTGAACGGACGTCGGACGAGTTACCTCGTCCGGTGGCGCGACTATCCCCCGTCCTGGGATCCTTGGGAGCCCCGCTCCCAACTGATGATCGACGTACTGGGTCTGGTTGAGCAGTACGACGCGGCACATCCTGTGCCGCAGAAGGACCGCCGGAGAAAGTCTTCCCGGCACGGTCGTAAAGGGATTTCAGGTTGTCAATCCCTTCGTACATCTCAGTAGAGATACGTACGCGCCACCACGGGCTGGTAAGGAGGTAAGCCTCCTTAGGTGCTCGTGCAGAGTTGTTCACACAACATGGGCACGAGTCTCCCCAGGAGAGGCAGGGTAACCCTTTCTCCCTAGACAGACGATGCAGCTTGTAGCGTGCACCTGTCGGGGTTCGCTTTTCAAACTTATCACGAGCTTTGATAAGTTTGTCGTTCCAAGCGTCACGACCTACATCCTCAAGGTTATGGATGTAGGCGTTCCACGCTTGAAGTAGTGAGGGACCATCACGTTTGTGATTCCCACTGTACCATCGATGTCTAAAGAAAGCATCGATGAAGAATTCATTCTCAGCGCGATAGTTTTTCGCGCTGGGGTCAAGGTGATGGATCCTAGACGAATCGAACAATCGTGTTAGATAACGATCACTCGTCGTCGCCGACAAGTGATCCATGACGGATTTAGGAGGCATCCATGCCTTCTTCTCAGGAGCGAGACGCAACACATTGCGGTCCCGCTCTTCCTGCGACGTGCCGACAGAAGTACTGGCACCCCGCTGTGAAGTGGTGTCCATAGGAGAACCGACACCACTATTAGCGCCCGAGTCTCGCGACCTCGAGCGCCTTCGCTTCGGCGATGGTTCATCTGATTCATCAGATGAACCAAAGATGCTGCGACGCAAAGCATCGTCCATGCCACGCTTGGCAGGCGGCTTAGATTCAATCGCCGTCGATACGGATCCGTCTCCCGTATCAGGAGAGTACGAGACACCGAGCTCGTACTCTGTGAAGACACGAGTGTCTTCATGACCAGCGCCTGCATCACCAAGTGACACAGGCTGGGTCGCTTCAGCAACCGATGAGACATCAGTTGCTGTTGTTTCTGCTTCGGCGTCCGCACAGAGACGTGCGGACGCGCTCTCGGCGGCCTTGCTCGCGCATCGCATGGGCTTGTTTACCATGCGATGAGATGTTGGAAAGTGGACGCGGACCAACAAGTGCAAACCCTGTCCCAAATGATTTGGGACGAGTATCCATTTAGTCAATCAGTAACTAAAGTGACTGATGGTTAAGGGGGGGTGATGTAACGGGGTGAATCGTTACATAACAATTTATAAGAAATTGTTAATAGAATATAACTATAAGAGTTATATTATCAGAATATTGTCATAAGGACAAATATTCTGTAGCATTTACGAGTAGTTCCTAATTGGTTGATATATGCCATTATATCAACCAACGAAGACGCGCCACGACAGACGCACGCAAAGAGTGGTGAGCAGATAACTGATTTACACATTTGTATTTAGACATAGTTAGATGAAGATAAATAGTGATTTATTGCAGACATTAACTATTATAAATACAGTTCTACTTTTTACTTTAACCAAGTACTCGCTTCTTCTTACCGTCTTCCTCTGCACGTACGAGTGTACGTGAAGTTACGAGGCACCGCCTGATTCTGTCATCAGAATAAGTAGCTTGTACTGTCACCAGTACAAGCTTCAGGGTGCCCCGTTACACGGGGACATGAGTATGTCGTGGAGCATCAGGTCCCACAATCTTCCAGACTGCTTAAGTCAATACAGACCCTTTTTTAGCTTCGGTGCAAGATGTCCCTTATCCTGCACTCCGAACTTGTCCAACAACTTGGCCTAGATATTCATACCTTTCGGAATATGGAGAAGTATCTACAAGCCTTCTTCTTTTTCGGCTTTAACATAAGCACTCGGCACATCGCCGTGTTGCGCAGGTACTCCCCAGATTATTGAAACTGCAAGAATCACTTTGCCAGAAACCATTTTCATAACGGCCGAGAAAGTGTAGGTATGATGTAATGGGGCAACCCATTATATTAAGTAGTCATAGTTTTATTACATAATTACATACATTAAGTGTAGGCAGTATCCGGATAGCGGATACTGCGCGTCTATTTATTATTGGTTTATTATTGGGGTGCCAGACTCAATAATTATCCAATAATAATTAGTTCTGTATTTGAGTGGTTCCCATGAGCTAGGGAACATATTCGCACTTACTGCGAATTATAAAAACACAAAAATACAAACAGAGTTAAATTTACCTTATAAATCACAGCGCTTCCTCAGCTTAATTATTAGTGTAAGACGGTAACGGGCTCTCACCCCGTTACACCTGGTAGCACTTAGTAGTCCTTCCCATGACCAAGTTCGAGATGGATATGAGTGAATCTTCGATGGCTCCAGCAGTTTCGCTGGAGCATGCAGATTTTCCCCATCTCACTACGGTAGAATGGCAGGCATTACACCGCCTCGCGGCGGTGTCTGGTGAAATCTTCGTGACGTCGCTGCTGAGCACAGCGACGCCCTAGCAACACCATGCCTCCATCCAAGACGACAGGGTGCGTGAGATCGCCGAAGCGAACCGGCGAGTACATACTCCCTCGCGCCCCTCCCATTACGATGCAATTAAAATGGAGACGTCGACATACTCTGGTGATGGTCCAGATCGTCTCCCCCTTAATCGCTGGTTTAGGGAGATTGATATCGCCATAGCGTCAAGGTTGATTGACGCTCCGACGGCCAAGGTTAATTTCCGACTGTCTCGGCTTGTTGGTAAAGCCAAAGAATGGGCTCTTGGGAAGCTCGTTGTAAACGAGTTGGCATTCCCCACGCTGGACGATATCCAGCGCGACTTACGACTGGCGTTCGAGCCCCCTCAAGATGAGTCACGCTTGCGCGCAGATTTCTTTTCACTTCGACAGGGCAAGCTGTCGATGCGTGATTACGTACAGAAGACGCGACATCTTGCTTCGTGTATCATCACGCAGCCGATCGACATGGCTTCGCAAGTTCATGTATTTGTCTTTGGTATGCAAGAGGGCATGACCCGCTATTGCCTCACACGTGCTGAACCTAAGACTCTTGAGGAGGCATTTGCCCTCGCGCTTCGTGAAGATTACACGGTCGCATCGTCATATTTGCAGGCAGCGTCGCAACGCCCGCGTACGTCTGGCCCAGAGCCTATGGAAATTGACGTTATCGATGCATCTCGTGGTCGCGGCAAGCAATTTGGCCGCGACATTCGAAGTCAAAACACGATGAAGTGTTATCGGTGCGGCAAGACTGGCCATCGTGCGGCCGTCTGCCGAGCACCAGCGCCGGTGTCCATGAACACAGCTGTCTCACGTGGAGATACTGTGTCGTCAGTGGTCCCGCCAAAAAACGAGCGGTTCCAGTAGGTGCGGGGCGCCCTACTGGCAGTAATGGAGCCCCGAGTACTCAGGTGGCAGCTCGGGCTCCTAGCCCTAAAGTGATACATACCCACTTCAATGCCACCACTATGCGCGACGATTCGAGACTGATAATTATCAGTCTCATCGTTGCTGGAGTTAAACGACCACTTCGAGCGTTGTTGGATTCGGGTGCATCCAACAACTTCTTTCGAGCATCATGTTTGTCCCTTCTCCCGTCGACAGTTACGGTTCGAGAAGGTCCAGGTGACATCGTTGTCAAACTTGCTGATGGACAACCACAGCGTGTCCCGCGTAAAACAGTGGTTTTGCCGTACACGTTCGACGGCTTCCAAAGTAATGACGAATTTTTGGTGTACGAGATGAATTATGCATTCGATTGCATCTTGGGGATACCGTGGCTGTCACGGTATCAGCCGACGATAGACTGGCTATCTCGGTCCGTCAAACGACGAAGCGGTTACGACGTAAGTGAAGTTTTCACTCATCTGTTGGTAGCGCCATCCGATTGGCCTCACGTCAGGGTCGTGGACGAACTCACCACGACTAGAAGTCATCTCAGAAAAAACGATGGCCCTCTGTGTCCGGTATATCCAGTCGCATAGAACCACAAGACGAGGCGGTCGTACAGAGTCTCCCGCATACACAGACATCGGTCGAGCAGGGGCTCCCGATTCACAACGAGAGACGGTCGAACAGAGGTTCCCGCACACACAGACATCGGTCGAGCAGGGGCTCCCGATTCACAACGAGGCGGTCGAACAGGGGTTCCCCACACGGACATCGTCGAGCAGGGGCTCCCGCATACACACACAACGGCCGAGCAGAGGCTCCCGATTGTAACCGAGGTGGTCGAGCAGAGGCTCCCACATACATCTGAGGCGGTCGACGACGAGCTTCCGCCTTATATTGACGAGAATGAACGGGCTGTGGACTTAAATGTGAACGACGTGGTGGAGACAGAGCTCCCACGTCTAGCGGGGGGGGTACTTCATCCTCCAGCGACAGCGACGTTCCAGCCTCGAGCAGTGGCTCAAGACGCAAGAGAAAGCGTAAACGCAAGAAAGGTGCACGCCGATCACCAAGACGACGAAATTCTCGCTCAAGCGCCGTTGACGATGATACTGTATTGACGGAATCCGTTTGTGCGCTTGAATATGTGGAAGGGTCTTCACATCGTGGCCGCTACGTTGAGGTAGCGAGCCCTCCGTGCACTGTTGCAGAGATCACATCTCTATTAACCCTACCATGGAAAGATTTCCTTCACGACCTCAAGGCCGGCGACATCGAGCAAGTGTGCATCATATCAGCCGCCGAAGCAGCTAGTGGAGAAGTTCTGGAGGCTCGCCCAAAGAGCGCTGAGCCCAAATCAGCGCGCGAAGAACGTTTCGTGGCACAGTCTTGGGAAGCCCTTCGTGCTTCGGGCAACCCTGTCTATGATATCGCGCGTGAGTATGCCGACATCTTTCCGGAGAATATCCCCGCTGAGCTTCCAGCGGATCGTGGTGTGCGACACGAGATCGATCTCGTGCCAGGATCGAAGTATTGCGTGACGCGGCAGTGGCCGCTACCGCGTGACCAAGTCATCGCAATTGATGAATTTTTTGAGGGCCGCCGTAAGGCAGGACACGTCCGCGAAAGCATATTGCCACATTCGAGTCCGACTTTCTGTGTGAAGAAAGCCACCGGCGGTTGGCGCATCGTGCATGCTTTTAACAAGTTGAATGACGCCACGATCCCGGCTCAAACACCAATTCCTCGGAAAGACATGGTACTGGATACCATGTCCGGCAGCGAGATTTTTAGCGCCATAGACCTGACAGACGGGTTTTACCAGATTTTAATGAGGGACAGTGATATCCCGTTCACCGCTGTCAGCACACCGAGTGGGATGCTTTGGGAGTGGCTAGTCATGCCACAAGGCCTTAAGAACGCTCCAGCAACGTTCAACCGAATGGTGACACAAGTGCTTCGGCCACTACGTGATTTCGCTCCAAGCTATTTCGACGATATCTTCGTACACAGCCGCGCTGAGCAACAACTCAGCGCTACGGAGGTCCACCTTCGGCATTTGAAACAGGTGTTCCAAGTGATGCGCGAGAACAAACTGTACGCAAATTTGAAGAAGTGCGTCTTCTGCGCTCCCGAGATTCCAGTTCTTGGATGCTATGTTAGCAAGGAAGGTGTCCATGCTGAACCCGAGAAAGTGTCATCGATATGTTCATGGCCTACGCCCAGGAACCAAACGGAACTACGCCAATGGCTTGGCTTGGCCAATTACTTGCATAAGTATACGAAGAACTATGCAGAACTAATCCAGCCACTATCGACTCTACTGAAGAAAGACGCAGTTTGGTCATGGAAAGCTGAACATCACTCTGCCTTCAACTCTGTGAAAAAGAGCTTGTCTGAAGCACCAGTGCTGATGTTGCCTGATGATTCCAAGCCATTTCACGTCGTCTGTGATGCGAGTGATTTCGCTATTGGATGTGCCCTCATGCAGTTTGACGATGAGGGCCGAGAGCGCGTCGTGAGCTTTCAGTCACGACAGATGAAACCCGCAGAGCGGAACTATCCGGTACATGACAAGGAACTTTTGGCTATGCGTTACGCGCTGATCAAGTTCAGAGTATATTTGCTCGGCGAGAAGATGTTTTCGGTCTATACAGATCACGCATCATTGCGTACCGCCGTCAAGACTCCCCACTTGTCCCAGCGTATGGCACGTTGGTTGTCATACTTCTCAGAGTATAATTTCGTGGTCTTTTACAAACCCGGCAAGAACAACATTCTTGCTGACGCGCTTTCTCGACGTCCCGATTATGATCCTCGACGTGACATGGGTCATCAGCCAGGCATTGCTGAAGACGAGGGACGACGACATTTGTTTATGCTGTGCTGAGCAGGGGCTCAATGCAATGATTTCGACACCTGAGCTGTCAATCCGGACTCAAATCGCTGAGTCATATGCGAACGATTCATTCTACACGGGAATCATCAATTATCTTCGACACCCTAGTGAGGGTTCACTCGCGAAGTTGACGAAACCAACGCGTGACAACATCAAGCGGTACGCGCTTGATGGTCCGCTGCTGACTTATACAATGGACGTTTTCGACCCACCGCGCGTCGTCATCCCTGCTGATGACGACCTCCGCGCACGATTGGTGCATGAATTTCATGACACTCCAACTGGTGGTCATTTGGGTCGCGAGAAGACGTTCGCGGCCATCTCTCGTGTGTTTTTCTGGCCGCGTATGTACAAATACATCCAGAAATGGGTACGCTCTTGTGAAATATGCCAGCGTGTGAAGCCTGCGCCGTCTTCACAAGCTCCATTGCGTCCGCTTCCGATTGCCACGGAAGCCTGGCGTTCGGTCAGCATAGATTTCATCTTTGGTCTCCCTCCGGACGAACAGAAACGCACGGGCGTATTGGTTTTTGTGGATCGATTTAGCAAAATGGTGCATTTTGCTCCAGTCTCCGCGCACGTTACGGCGGAGACGACCGCGCAGATCTTCATCGATCTCATATTTCGACATCACGGCTTGCCTGAATCAATTGTTTCGGACCGCGACCCGCGCTTTACATCAGCTTTTTGGGCAACGTTGTTTCAACTATTGGGCACGCGACTGCTTATGTCTACGGCAGCCCATCCAGAGACGGATGGGCAAACGGAGCGCGTGAACAGAGTGCTTGAAGATGTACTACGCAGTTATGCGACATCGTTCCAGTCGTGGAGTTCGTTTCTCCCTCTCGCTGAATTTGCAATCAACAACGCAATTCATGCGTCGACTGGAGTTAACGCCATTTTTCGTGAATAACGCGAGGCACCCTCGCGTTCCAGCGCTTCTTGCTCTTTCAGCTTCAGCACACCCAGTTTCTCAGCTTGGTGGGGGAGTATCTCCCGATGACACTACGCGAAAAATTTTGATGATTGGTAATGTTGAAGACAAGGTTGCTGCCGATGCAACTCATACTGTTAATTTCGTGGCCAATGGCATATCGAGTCCCGACGCGATGCATCCCATCGCGTCTCCCGTCGCTAATTTTGCTCCTAAAGAGTCCACTTCTCCTGTAAGTTCGGCTGCTGTGACCGAATTCCTATTACTACGGCAAAGTATCACGCGTTTTGTACGCGATGCACTCCAAGAAGCAGTGGATAAACAAAAGGAGAACGCGGACAAGCGAGGTCGAAAGAACTTGCTGACGTTCAAAGAAGGTGACAGAGTCTTACTATCGACAAGCGGATTACCAGACACGTCAGTAACGAATTTGGGCGCTAATAAATTAGCGCCAAGATATATTGGGCCCTTTCGGATTGTTGAAGTCCATGGAGATGCTTACACGCTAGACATACCTACCACTATGCGTTTGCACCCGACATTCTATGTCGGGCGCCTTAAGGCTTACCTGCCGGCGGATCTCCCTTTGGTCCTTCCTCACTCGTCTGTATCGGCTCAAAGTCCGACACCCCCTGCCGACGACGCTGACGACGACTGGGACCAAGTCCTAGACGAGCGCGAGCAGACTCGTTCTGCTGGGGTCCACCGAACGCAGCAGTCTCGAGCTGTCGCAGACGCTCCACCAAGCCCTGCTGCTCCCGTCGGGTTCTCTCGGCAGCCTCTGTCGCAGCTGCTGCACGATCTCGAGCCCTCTCGGCCATCTCACGGGCATCCAGAAGGCCGTTCATCGCCTCTTCAGTGTCAGCACGAAGGAAACGAAGCTCGTCACTCGACGGCACAGGCGCCCGATTATGAGAATCGGCGCCCAACCCAAGAAGCCTTCCGTCGTGATGCTCCTCCTCCCTTGGTAGATGCATCGGGTGAGCGACGCTGGATTGTGGACCGTATCGTCGGTCATGAAGACCCCACGCCTCTTGCGCCGAGTAGTGGCTCGGCGCCATCGAAGAGTCGTTCAGAAACGCATTACAAGGTCCGATGGTTGGGTTATTCACCAACGGAAGACACGTGGGAGCCTAGAAGTATGCTGGCTCACGATGTTCCTGACGTCGTTGAGGAGTACGAGACCAGTAAGAGGTCGGCGAACGCGACCGACGCTGCTGACTCCTTCCACGATCCCGCGAACCGTAACGTGCGTGAATTGGCGATCGACGACGATCTCCCGAGCGACTCCGACGTCTTCTACGAGGATCGGGAGCATTTGGATACCTTGACGGTCGAGAGCGACTACGAGAACGACCTCGGTGGTCGTAAGACAAACGATCTCGACTACGTGAACGCCTCCATTGATCGACAGGGCGTTCCCTCATGTGACGCAACGCAGATACTTGGAGCTCTGAGAGGCTCCTCTCATAGCGTCCGATCCATGGTCGGATGTGCTGGGGCATTCCCCGTGCACACACCATGTCGTCCCATTCCTGCCGCATTGGTCGCGGTCTCTCCATGTGACACCGTGGACACCCTTCACGGACATGGACGTAACACATGTGGAACCCATCACGAGTCAAATGACATACGCGTCGTCGTAAGTCGCCAATAGCGTGGTCGCCATGAGTACTTTCGCGTCCCTCGATCCAGGACGTGAAGGATGCCCCTTCACGTCGACTCGCGTTCCAACGTCTGATGAAGGCACACCAAGATCGTTGCAGTGCGTCTTCAGTGTATGTGTGATTCGTTCCCTTGCCTCGAACGTTACGGTATCGTGTGAAGAGATTCTTCATGGTCTCAAGTGATTCAGGTTGGTGCGCGCCTTCAAGGCTGTACAAGCCCCACGGCTTCAAGTCGTCATCCATGGTCTGCGGTGCACGCTCTCTTCGAAGTGTCTGATGACCCCAACTGTCGTTTGGGGTCGAGTCGCGTGGGTGTTCAGGATTCATGCTGCTCAGTTGTTTGTGGCTGAGCAGATTCGAAGACCAAGATGACGTGTCGTTGGAGTTCTCGTTGGGCTTTTCGTTGGACTATTCGTTAAGAAGAAACTTTCTGTGTATGGCGCTTACGTCACGGTAAGCGCAACTTGAAGAGGGGGGTGATGTAATGGGGCAACCCATTATATTAAGTAGTCATAGTTTTATTACATAATTACATACATTAAGTGTAGGCAGTATCCGGATAGCGGATACTGCGCGTCTATTTATTATTGGTTTATTATTGGGGTGCCAGACTCAATAATTATCCAATAATAATTAGTTCTGTATTTGAGTGGTTCCCATGAGCTAGGGAACATATTCGCACTTACTGCGAATTATAAAAACACAAAAATACAAACAGAGTTAAATTTACCTTATAAATCACAGCGCTTCCTCAGCTTAATTATTAGTGTAAGACGGTAACGGGCTCTCGCCCCGTTACATATGATCGATACCATAAACTTGTTCATCTCCTCGCGCCACCAGCCTCGCCTTGTATCTTTCGATCGTGCCGTCAGCGTGCATCTTGAGCTTGTAAAACCACTTACTATGAAGTAGCTTTGTTTCACGTGGCTTTCGTATCACTTTCCACGTATGATTCTGCTCCTATGCGTCAATCTCTGTGCGCATTGCCTCCTTCCAATGCTCAACCCAAGGGTCCTTCATCGCCTCGTGATAGTTCTTGGGGTTTTAATCGCGATAGCTTTCGAACTATAGACCGGCACGTGCTTTGTACCCATGTTGCGTGTCTGCATCCGAGCTTGCGTTTGTCCATCCTCTGGTAACTGCTCGACCTCACCTCCATCTCTTTCATTCGGGATAGAGTTATTACTTGACACCAAATTTCGTCTGCCTTCAAACCACTCTTCTTCAAATTTGCAGGCTCATTCCGTTTCGGGGTTTCGTCACGATCCATCTCGGCGCGCCGCAGCATGAAATATTCGTGTACGATTCGTTTATTTAGCTGAGCGTTCTGTGCGCTATTTAACGTTTCGACGTTACGAATATGCTGAGTAGTGATCACAATTTTCTCCTTCGGCAGGTAGACTTTGAAGCCCTTAGTTTCATCATTCTTGCCATTAGTCATTCCAACTTGAGATCGTGACTTCCATGCTTTCTCCCCAGGATCTCTGAACGTTGAGCAAGAGCTCCCGAATATTTTAATGTCCGCCGTGTTCGGAATTGTTCAAGTCAACATTTCTAGCGGCGATAGGCGCTTGGGGTTAGCGCTACACGAGCTTCGATTCAAAACATAGGCAAAGTACTCAACGGCATCTTCCCATAAGAATAAATGTAGCCCGCTCGCAAATAGCATGCATCTTGCCCTGTTGAGTATTGTCCTGTGCATCCTTTCAGCCTTCCCGTTCGATGCCTGATTTGAAGCCTCACTCACTTGGCGCCTTATACCAGCTGACTTGCAGAACATGTCGACATTGACATACTCCTTGCCACCGTCCGTTCGCAGCACATGAACTCGACAATTAAATCTCTTCTTGAAATAAATCAGAAAACGCTTATAGTTCTTTGTCGCCTCAATCTTGTTCTTGGCCAGGAACACGCGGACATAATTTGTTGAGTAGTCGACGAAGTTGATCAGGTAACGATTACCACGTCGATCTAGTGATGTCATTGGTCCCTTGATATCTCTGCCGATCACACCACCAAGCTGGTCAATAGGCGCGTTCTTGCCTGTATCCTTCTTGGAATGGTTGTTTTTGCTCTGCTTGCATTCTGCACAAGTAAGACAATTTGGCCTGGCTCGATCTGTCAGGTGTATGCCCGATCCTTTAAAGTCGGTCATGCGCTCGACAGTATCGTACCCAAGATGACCAAGCCTCTGATGCAACTCCACAAGAGTTGTACTTAATACAGCTTCATCAATTCCATCGTAACCTTGTGGCAAGGCTGAGTTGACAACTTGAACTCGCGCTTCCTTCGTTTTCTCACCCATTACGTCGACTGTTATCACGTTATTGCGGCGGAACACCTCGAATATCTTCAGGCCATCCTCTTGACGTACCACATAGCTCGGATTGCCGTCTCGCTCGAGAAACACTACACGCTCTTCCAATATACCATAGCTAATTTGTAATGGGGCAACCCATTATATTAAGTAGTCATAGTTTTATTACATAATTACATACATTAAGTGTAGGCAGTATCCGGATAGCGGATACTGCGCGTCTATTTATTATTGGTTTATTATTGGGGTGCCAGACTCAATAATTATCCAATAATAATTAGTTCTGTATTTGAGTGGTTCCCATGAGCTAGGGAACATATTCGCACTTACTGCGAATTATAAAAACACAAAAATACAAACAGAGTTAAATTTACCTTATAAATCACAGCGCTTCCTCAGCTTAATTATTAGTGTAAGACGGTAACGGGCTCTCACCTCGTAACACCTGGTAGTACTTAGTAATCCTTCCCATGACCACGTGCGAGATGGATATGAGTGAATCTTCGATGGCTCCAGCAGTTTCGCTGGAGCATGCAGATTTTCCCCATCTCACTACGGTAGAATGGCAGGCATTACACCGCCTCGCGGCGGTGTCTGGTGAAATCTTCGTGACGTCGCTGCTGAGCACAGCGACGCCCAAACAACACCGTGCCGCCATTCAAGACTACATGGTGCGCGAGCTCGCCGAAGCGAACCGGCGAGTACATACTCCCTCGCGCCCCTCCCATTACGATGCAATTAAAATGGAGACGTCGACATACTCTGGTGATGGTCCAGATCGTCTCCCCCTTAATCGCTGGTTTAGGGAGATTGATATCGCCATAGCGTCAAGGTTGATTGACGCTCCGACGGCCAAGGTTAATTTCCGACTGTCTCGGCTTGTTGGTAAAGCCAAAGAATGGGCTCTTGGGAAGCTCGTTGTAAACGAGTTGGCATTCCCCCACGCTGGACGATATCCAGCGCGACTTACGACTGGCGTTCGAGCCCCCTCAAGATGAGTCACGCTTGCGCGCAGATTTCTTTTCACTTCGACAGGGCAAGCTGTCGATGCGTTATTACGTGCAGAAGACGCGACATCTTGATTAGTGTATCACCACGCAGCCGATCGACATGGCTACACAAGTTCATGTCTTTGTCTTTGGTAAGAAAGAGGGCATGACCCGTTATTGCCTCACACGTGCTGAACCGAATACTCTCGATGAGGCATTCGCCCTCGCACTTCGTGAAGATTACACGGTCGCGAAGTCATACTTCCAGGCAGCGTCGCAACGCCCGCGTACGTCTGGCCCAGAGCCAATGAAAATTGACGTTATTGGTACATCTCGTGGTCGCGGCAAGCAATTTGGCCGCGACATTCGAAGTCAAAACACGATGAAGTGTTATCGGTGCGGCAAAACAGGCCATCTTGCGGCCGTCTGCCTAGGACCAGCGCCAGTGTCCATTAGCACAGCTGTTTTACGTGAAGATATTGTGTCGTCGACGGTCCCGCCAAAAGCGAGCGGTTCCAGTAGGCGCGGGGCGCTCTACTGGCATGAGGGAGCCCCGAGTATTCAAGTGGCAGCTCGGACTCCCAGACCCCAAGTGATCCATACTCACCTCCATGCCACCACCACGCGCGACGATTCAAGACTGATCATCATCAGTCTCGTCATCGCTGGAGTAAACGATCACTCCGAGCGTTGTTGGATTCGGGTGCATCCAAAACTTCTTTCAAGAATCATGTTTGTCTCTTCTCCCGTCGACAGTTACGGTTCGAGAAGGTCCAGGTGACATCGTTGTCAAACTTGCTGATGGACAACCACAGCGTGTCCCGCGTAAAACAGTGGTTTTGCCGTACACGTTCGACGGCTTCCAAAGTAATGACGAATTTTTGGTGTACGAGATGAATTATGCATTCGATTGCATCTTGGGGATACCGTGGCTGTCACGGTATCAGCCGACGATAGACTGGCTATCTCGGTCCGTCAAACGACGAAGCGGTTACGACGTAAGTGAAGTTTTCACTCATCTGTTGGTAGCGCCATCCGATTGGCCTCACGTCAGGGTCGTGAACGAACTCGCCACGACTAGAAGTCAGCACAGAGAGAGCGATGGCCCTCTGTGTCCGGTATGTTCAGTCACAGTGATAGAACCACAACACGAGGCGGTCGAACAGAGGTTCCCGCAAACACAGACATCGGTCGAGCAGGGGCTCCCGATTCACAACGAGACGGTCGAACAGAGGTTCCCGCACACACAGACATCGGTCGAGCAGGGGCTCCCGATTCACAACGAGGCGGTCGAACAGGGGTTCCCGCACACACGGACATCGGTCGAGCAGGGGCTCCCGCATACACACACAACGGCCGAGCAGAGGATCCCGATTGTAACCGAGGTGGTCGAGCAGAGGCTCCCACATACATCTGAGGCGGTCGACGACGAGCTCCCGCCTCTTATCGACGAGAATGAACGGGCTGTGGACTTAAATGTGAACGACGTGGTGGAGACAGAGCTCCCACGTCTAGCGGGGGGGGGGTACTTCATCCTCCAGCGACAGCGACGTTCCAGCCTCGAGCAGTGGCTCAAGACGCAAGAGAAAGCGTAAACGCAAGAAAGGTGCACGCCGATCACCAAGACGACGAAATTCTCGCTCAAGCGCCGTTGACGATGATACTGTATTGACGGAATCCGTTTGAGCGCTTGAATATGTGGAAGGGTCTTCACATCGTGGCCGCTACGTTGAGGTAGCGAGCCCTCCGTGCACTGTTGCAGAGATCACATCTCTATTAACCCTACCATGGAAAGATTTCCTTCACGACCTCAAGGCCGGCGACATCGAGCAAGTGTGCATCATATCAGCCGCCGAAGCAGCTAGTGGAGAAGTTCTGGAGGCTCGCCCAAAGAGCGCTGAGCCCAAATCAGCGCGCGAAGAACGTTTCGTGGCACAGTCTTGGGAAGCCCTTCGTGCTTCGGGCAACCCTGTCTATGATATCGCGCGTGAGTATGCCGACATCTTTCCGGAGAATATCCCCGCTGAGCTTCCAGCGGATCGTGGTGTGCGACACGAGATCGATCTCGTGCCAGGATCGAAGTATTGCGTGACGCGGCAGTGGCGGCTACCGCGTGACCAAGTCATCGCAATTGATGAATTTTTTGAGGGCCGCCGTAAGGCAGGACACGTCCGCGAAAGCATATTGCCACATTCGAGTCCGACTTTCTGTGTGAAGAAAGCCACCGGCGGTTGGCGCATCGTGCATGCTTTTAACAAGTTGAATGACGCCACGATCCCGGCTCAAACACCAATTCCTCGGAAAGACATGGTACTGGATACCATGTCCGGCAGCGAGATTTTTAGCGCCATAGACCTGACAGACGGGTTTTACCAGATTTTAATGAGGGACAGTGATATCCCGTTCACCGCTGTCAGCACGCTGAGTGGCATGCTTTGGGAGTGGCTAGTCATGCCACAAGGCCTTAAGAACGCTCCAGCAACGTTCAACCGAATGGTGACACAAGTGCTTCGGCCACTACGTGATTTCGCTCCAAGCTATTTCGACGATATCTTCGTACACAGCCGCGCTGAGCAACAACTCAGCGCTACGGAGGTCCACCTTCGGCATTTGAAACAGGTGTTCCAAGTGATGCGCGAGAACAATCTGTACGCAAATTTGAAGAAGTGTGTCTTCTGTGCTCCCGAGATTCCAGTTCTTGGATGCTATGTTAGCAAGGAAGGTGTCCATGCTGAACCCGAGAAAGTGTCATCGATATGTTCATGGCCTACGCCCAGGAACCAAACGGAACTACGCCAATGGCTTGGCTTGGCCAATTACTTGCATAAGTATACGAAGAACTATGCAGAACTAATCCAGCCACTATCGACTCTACTGAAGAAAGACGCAGTTTGGTCATGGAAAGCTGAACATCACTCTGCCTTCAACTCTGTGAAAAAGAGCTTGTCTGAAGCACCAGTGCTGATGTTGCCTGATGATTCCAAGCCATTTCACGTCGTCTGTGATGCGAGTGATTTCGCTATTGGATGTGCCCTCATGCAGTTTGACGATGAGGGCCGAGAGCGCGTCGTGAGCTTTCAGTCACGACAGATGAAACCCGCAGAGCGGAACTATCCGGTACATGACAAGGAACTTTTGGCTATGCGTTACGCGCTGATCAAGTTCAGAGTATATTTGCTCGGCGAGAAGATGTTTTCGGTCTATACAGATCACGCATCATTGCGTACCGCCGTCAAGACTCCCCACTTGTCCCAGCGTATGGCACGTTGGTTGTCATACTTCTCAGAGTATAATTTCGTGGTCTTTTACAAACCCGGCAAGAACAACATTCTTGCTGACGCGCTTTCTCGACGTCCCGATTATGATCCTCGACGTGACATGGGTCATCAGCCAGGCATTGCTGAAGACGAGGACGACGACATTTGTTTATGCTGTGCTGAGCAGGGGCTCAATGCAATGATTTCGACACCTGAGCTGTCAATCCGGACTCAAATCGCTGAGCCATATGCGAACGATTCATTCTACACGGGAATCATCAATTATCTTCGACACCCTAGTGAGGGTTCACTCGCGAAGTTGACGAAACCAACGCGTGACAACATCAAGCGGTACGCGCTTGATGGTCCGCTGCTGACTTATACAATGGACGTTTTCGACCCACCGCGCGTCGTCATCCCTGCTGATGACGACCTCCGCGCACGATTGGTGCATGAATTTCATGACACTCCAACTGGTGGTCATTTGGGTCGCGAGAAGACGTTCGCGGCCATCTCTCGTGTGTTTTTCTGGCCGCGTATGTACAAATACATCCAGAAATGGGTACGCTCTTGTGAAATATGCCAGCGTGTGAAGCCTGCGCCGTCTTCACAAGCTCCATTGCGTCCGCTTCCGATTGCCACGGAAGCCTGGCGTTCGGTCAGCATAGATTTCATCTTTGGTCTCCCTCCGGACGAACAGAAACGCACGGGCGTATTGGTTTTTGTGGATCGATTTAGCAAAATGGTGCATTTTGCTCCAGTCTCCGCGCACGTTACGGCGGAGACGACCGCGCAGATCTTCATCGATCTCATATTTCGACATCACGGCTTGCCTGAATCAATTGTTTCGGACCGCGACCCGCGCTTTACATCAGCTTTTTGGGCAACGTTGTTTCAATTATTGGGCACGCGACTGCTTATGTGTACGGCAGCCCATCCAGAGACGGATGGGCAAACGGAGCGCGTGAACAGAGTGCTTGAAGATGTACTACGCAGTTATGCGACATCGTTCCAGTCGTGGAGTTCGTTTCTCCCTCTCGCTGAATTTGCAATCAACAACGCAATTCATGCGTCGACTGGGTTAACGCCATTTTTCGTGAATAACGCGAGGCACCCTCGCGTTCCAGCGCTTCTTGCTCTTTCAGCTTCAGCACACCCAGTTTCTCAGCTTGGTGGGGGAGTATCTCCCGATGACACTACGCGAAAAATTTTGATGATTGGTAATGCTGAAGACAAGGTTGCTGCCGATGCAACTCATACTGTTAATTTCGTGGCCAATGGCATATCGAGTCCCGACGCGATGCATCCCATCGCGTCTCCCGTCGCTAATTTTGCTCCTAAAGAGTCCACTTCTCCTGTAAGTTCGGCTGCTGTGACCGAATTCCTATTACTACGGCAAAGTATCACGCGTTTTGTACGCGATGCACTCCAAGAAGCAGTGGATAAACAAAAGGAGAACGCGGACAAGCGAGGTCGAAAGAACTTGCTGACGTTCAAAGAAGGTGACAGAGTCTTACTATCGACAAGCGGATTACCAGACACGTCAGTAACGAATTTGGGCGCTAATAAATTAGCGCCAAGATATATTGGGCCCTTTCGGATTGTTGAAGTCCATGGAGATGCTTACACGCTAGACATACCTACCACTATGCGTTTGCACCCGACATTCTATGTCGGGCGCCTTAAGGCTTACCTGCCGGCGGATCTCCCTTTGGTCCTTCCTCACTCGTCTGTATCGGCTCAAAGTCCGACACCCCCTGCCGACGACGCTGACGACGACTGGGACCAAGTCCTAGACGAGCGCGAGCAGACTCGTTCTGCTGGGGTCCACCGAACGCAGCAGTCTCGAGCTGTCGCAGACGCTCCACCAAGCCCTGCTGCTCCCGTCGGGTTCTCTCGGCAGCCTCTGTCGCAGCTGCTGCACGATCTCGAGCCCTCTCGGCCATCTCACGGGCATCCAGAATGCCGTTCATCGCCTCTTCAGTGTCAGAACGAAGGAAACGAAGCTCGTCACTCGACGGCACAGGCGCCCGATTATGAGAATCGGCGCCCAACCCAAGAAGCCTTCCGTCGTGATGCTCCTCCTCCCTTGGTAGATGCATCGGGTGAGCGACGCTGGATTGTGGACCGTATCGTCGGTCATGAAGACCCCACGCCTCTTGCGCCGAGTAGTGGCTCGGCGCCATCGAAGAGTCGTTCAGAAACGCATTACAAGGTCCGATGGTTGGGTTATTCACCAACGGAAGACACGTGGGAGCCTCGAAGTATGCTGGCTCACGATGTTCCTGACGTCGTTGAGGAGTACGAGACCAGTAAGAGGTCGGCGAACGTGACCGACGCTGCTGACTCCTTCCACGATCCCGCGAACCGTAACGTGCGTGAATTGGCGATCGACGACGATCTCCCGAGCGACTCCGACGTCTTCTACGAGGATCGGGAGCATTTGGATACCTTGACGGTCGAGAGCGACTACGAGAACGACCTCGGTGGTCGTAAGACAAACGATCTCGACTACGTGAACGCCTCCATTGATCGACAGGGCGTTCCCTCATGTGACGCAACGCAGATACTTGGAGCTCTGAGAGGCTCCTCTCATAGCGTCCGATCCATGGTCAGATGTGCTGGGGCATTCCCCGTGAACACACCATGTCGTCCCATTCCTGCCGCATTGGTCGCGGTCTCTCCATGTGACACCGTGGACACCCTTCACGGACATGGACGTAACACATGTGGAACCCATCACGAGTCAAATGACATACGCGTCGTCGTAAGTCGCCAATAGCGTGGTCGCCATGAGTACTTTCGCGTCCCTCGATCCAGGACGTGAAGGATGCCCCTTCACGTCGACTCGCGTTCCAACGTCTGATGAAGGCACACCAAGATCGTTGCAGTGCGTCTTCAGTGTATGTGTGATTCGTTCCCTTGCCTCGAACGTTACGGTATCGTGTGAAGAGATTCTTCATGGTCTCAAGTGATTCAGGTTGGTGCGCGCCTTCAAGGCTGTACAAGCCCCACGGCTTCAAGTCGTCATCCATGGTCTGCGGTGCACGCTCTCTTCGAAGTGTCTGATGACCCCAACTGTCGTTTGGGGTCGAGTCGCGTGGGTGTTCAGGATTCATGCTGCTCAGTTGTTTGTGGCTGAGCAGATTCGAAGACCAAGATGACGTGTCGTTGGAGTTCTCGTTGGGCTTTTCGTTGGACTATTCGTTAAGAAGAAACTTTCTGTGTATGGCGCTTACGTCACGGTAAGCGCAACTTAAAGAGGGGGGTGATGTAATGGGGCAACCCATTATATTAAGTAGTCATAGTTTTATTACATAATTACATACATTAAGTGTAGGCAGTATCCGGATAGCGGATACTGCGCGTCTATTTATTATTGGTTTATTATTGGGGTGCCAGACTCAATAATTATCCAATAATAATTAGTTCTGTATTTGAGTGGTTCCCATGAGCTAGGGAACATATTCGCACTTACTGCGAATTATAAAAACACAAAAATACAAACAGAGTTAAATTTACCTTATAAATCACAGCGCTTCCTCAGCTTAATTATTAGTGTAAGACGGTAACGGGCTCTCGCCCCGTTACATATGATCGATACCATAAACTTGTTCATCTCCTCGCGCCACCAGCCTCGCCTTGTATCTTTCGATCGTGCCGTCAGCGTGCATCTTGAGCTTGTAAAACCACTTACTATGAAGTAGCTTTGTTTCACGTGGCTTTCGTATCACTTTCCACGTATGATTCTGCTCCTATGCGTCAATCTCTGTGCGCATTGCCTCCTTCCAATGCTCAACCCAAGGGTCCTTCATCGCCTCGTGATAGTTCTTGGGGTTTTAATCGCGATAGCTTTCGAACTATAGACCGGCACGTGCTTTGTACCCATGTTGCGTGTCTGCATCCGAGCTTGCGTTTGTCCATCCTCTGGTAACTGCTCGACCTCACCTCCATCTCTTTCATTCGGGATAGAGTTATTACTTGACACCAAATTTCGTCTGCCTTCAAACCACTCTTCTTCAAATTTGCAGGCTCATTCCGTTTCGGGGTTTCGTCACGATCCATCTCGGCGCGCCGCAGCATGAAATATTCGTGTACGATTCGTTTATTTAGCTGAGCGTTCTGTGCGCTATTTAACGTTTCGACGTTACGAATATGCTGAGTAGTGATCACAATTTTCTCCTTCGGCAGGTAGACTTTGAAGCCCTTAGTTTCATCATTCTTGCCATTAGTCATTCCAACTTGAGATCGTGACTTCCATGCTTTCTCCCCAGGATCTCTGAACGTTGAGCAAGAGCTCCCGAATATTTTAATGTCCGCCGTGTTCGGAATTGTTCAAGTCAACATTTCTAGCGGCGATAGGCGCTTGGGGTTAGCGCTACACGAGCTTCGATTCAAAACATAGGCAAAGTACTCAACGGCATCTTCCCATAAGAATAAATGTAGCCCGCTCGCAAATAGCATGCATCTTGCCCTGTTGAGTATTGTCCTGTGCATCCTTTCAGCCTTCCCGTTCGATGCCTGATTTGAAGCCTCACTCACTTGGCGCCTTATACCAGCTGACTTGCAGAACATGTCGACATTGACATACTCCTTGCCACCGTCCGTTCGCAGCACATGAACTCGACAATTAAATCTCTTCTTGAAATAAATCAGAAAACGCTTATAGTTCTTTGTCGCCTCAATCTTGTTCTTGGCCAGGAACACGCGGACATAATTTGTTGAGTAGTCGACGAAGTTGATCAGGTAACGATTACCACGTCGATCTAGTGATGTCATTGGTCCCTTGATATCTCTGCCGATCACACCACCAAGCTGGTCAATAGGCGCGTTCTTGCCTGTATCCTTCTTGGAATGGTTGTTTTTGCTCTGCTTGCATTCTGCACAAGTAAGACAATTTGGCCTGGCTCGATCTGTCAGGTGTATGCCCGATCCTTTAAAGTCGGTCATGCGCTCGACAGTATCGTACCCAAGATGACCAAGCCTCTGATGCATCTCCACAAGAGTTGTACTTAATACAGCTTCATCAATTCCATCGTAACCTTGTGGCAAGGCTGAGTTGACAACTTGAACTCGCGCTTCCTTCGTTTTCTCACCCATTACGTCGACTGTTATCACGTTATTGCGGCGGAACAGTTCTCGTTGGGCTTTCGTTGGACTATTCGTTAAGAAGAAACTTTCTGTGTATGGCGCTTACGTCACGGTAAGCGCAACTTCCAATAGACGGGGGCTGATGTAATGGGGCAACCTATTATATTAAGTAGTCATAGTTTTATTACATAATTACATACATTAAGTGTAGGCAGTATCCGGATAGCGGATACTGCGCGTCTATTTATTATTGGTTTATTATTGGGGTGCGACACTCAATAATTAGCCAATAATAATTAGTTCTGTATTTGAGTGGTTCCCATGAGCTAGGGAACATATTCGCACTTACTGCGAATTATAAAAACACAAAAATACAAACAGAGTTAAATTTACCTTATAAATCACAGCGCTTCCTCAGCTTAATTATTAGTGTAAGACGGTAACGGGCTCTCACCTCGTAACACCTGGTAGTACTTAGTAATCCTTCCCATGACCACGTGCGAGATGGATATGAGTGAATCTTCGATGGCTCCAGCAGTTTCGCTGGAGCATGCAGATTTTCCCCATCTCACTACGGTAGAATGGCAGGCATTACACCGCCTCGCGGCGGTGTCTGGTGAAATCTTCGTGACGTCGCTGCTGAGCACAGCGACGCCCGAACAACACCGTGCCGCCATTCAAGACTACATGGTGCGCGAGCTCGCCGAAGCGAACCGGCGAGTACATACTCCCTCGCGCCCCTCCCATTACGATGCAATTAAAATGGAGACGTCGACATACTCTGGTGATGGTCCAGATCGTCTCCCCCTTAATCGCTGGTTTAGGGAGATTGACATCGCCATAGCGTCAAGGTTGATTGACGCTCCGACGGCCAAGGTTAATTTCCTACTGTCTCGGCTTGTTGGTAAAGCCAAAGAATGGGCTCTTGGGAAGCTCGTTGTAAACGAGTTGGCATTCCCCACGCTGGACGATATCCAGCGCGACTTACGACTGGCGTTCGAGCCCCCTCAAGATGAGTCACGCTTGCGCGCAGATTTCTTTTCACTTCGACAGGGCAAGCTGTCGATGCGTGATTACGTACAGAAGACGCGACATCTTGCTTCGTGTATCATCACGCAGCCGATCGACATGGCTTCGCAAGTTCATGTATTTGTCTTTGGTATGCAAGAGGGCATGACCCGCTATTGCCTCACACGTGCTGAACCTAAGACTCTTGAGGAGGCATTTGCCCTCGCGCTTCGTGAAGATTACACGGTCGCATCGTCATATTTGCAGGCAGCGTCGCAACGCCCGCGTACGTCTGGCCCAGAGCCTATGGAAATTGACGTTATCGATGCATCTCGTGGTCGCGGCAAGCAATTTGGCCGCGACATTCGAAGTCAAAACACGATGAAGTGTTATCGGTGCGGCAAGACTGGCCATCGTGCGGCCGTCTGCCGAGCACCAGCGCCGGTGTCCATGAACACAGCTGTCTCACGTGGAGATACTGTGTCGTCAGTGGTACCGCCAAAAGCGAGCGGTTCCAGTAGGCGCGGGGCGCTCTACTGGCATGAGGGAGCCCCGAGTATTCAAGTGGCAGCTCGGGCTCCTAGCCCTAAAGTGATCCATACTCACCTCCATGCCACCACCACGCGCGACGATTCAAGACTGATCATCATCAGTCTCGTCGTCGCTGGAGTAAACGATCACTCCGAGCGTTGTTGGATTCGGGTGCATCCAAAACTTCTTTCGAGCATCATGTTTGTCTCTTCTCCCGTCGACAGTTACGGTTCGAGAAGGTCCAGGTGACATCGTTGTCAAACTTGCTGATGGACAACCACAGCGTGTCCCGCGTAAAACAGTGGTTTTGCCGTACACGTTCGACGGCTTCCAAAGTAATGACGAATTTTTGGTGTACGAGATGAATTATGCATTCGATTGCATCTTGGGGATACCGTGGCTGTCACGGTATCAGCCGACGATAGACTGGCTATCTCGGTCCGTCAAACGACGAAGCGGTTACGACGTAAGTGAAGTTTTCACTCATCTGTTGGTAGCGCCATCCGATTGGCCTCACGTCAGGGTCGTGAACGAACTCGCCACGACTAGAAGTCAGCACAGAGAGAGCGATGGCCCTCTGTGTCCGGTATGTTCTGTCACACTGATAGAACCACAACACGAGGCGGTCGAGCAGAGGTTCCCGCAAACCCAGACATCGGTCGAGCAGGGGCTCCCGATTCACAACGAGACGGTCGAACAGAGGTTCCCGCACACACAGACATCGGTCGAGCAGGGGCTCCCGATTCACAACGAGGCGGTCGAACAGGGGTTCCCGCACACACGGACATCGGTCGAGCAGGGGCTCCCGATTCACAACGAGGCGGTCGAACAGGGGTTCCCGCACACACGGACTTCGGTCGAGCAGGGGTTCCCGCACACACGGACATCGGTCGAGCAGGGGCTCCCGCATACACACACAACGGCCGAGCAGAGGCTCCCGATTGTAACCGAGGTGGTCGAGCAGAGGCTCCCACATACATCTGAGGCGGTCGACGACGAGCTCCCGCCTCTTATCGACGAGAATGAACGGGCTGTGGACTTAAATGTGAACGACGTGGTGGAGACAGAGCTCCCACGTCTAGCGGGGGGTATGTCATCCTCCAGCGACAGCAATGTGCCAGCCTCGAGCAGTGGCTCAAGACGCAAGAGAAAGCGTAAACGCAAGAAAGGTGCACGCCGATCACCAAGACGACGAAATTCTCGCTCAAGCGCCGTTGACGATGATACTGTATTGACGGAATCCGTTTGAGCGCTTGAATATGTGGAAGGGTCTTCACATCGTGGCCGCTACGTTGAGGTAGCGAGCCCTCCGTGCACTGTTGCAGAGATCACATCTCTATTAACCCTACCATGGAAAGATTTCCTTCACGACCTCAAGGCCGGCGACATCGAGCAAGTGTGCATCATATCAGCCGCCGAAGCAGCTAGTGGAGAAGTTCTGGAGGCTCGCCCAAAGAGCGCTGAGCCCAAATCAGCGCGCGAAGAACGTTTCGTGGCACAGTCTTGGGAAGCCCTTCGTGCTTCGGGCAACCCTGTCTATGATATCGCGCGTGAGTATGCCGACATCTTTCCGGAGAATATCCCCGCTGAGCTTCCAGCGGATCGTGGTGTGCGACACGAGATCGATCTCGTGCCAGGATCGAAGTATTGCGTGACGCGGCAGTGGCGGCTACCGCGTGACCAAGTCATCGCAATTGATGAATTTTTTGAGGGCCGCCGTAAGGCAGGACACGTCCGCGAAAGCATATTGCCACATTCGAGTCCGACTTTCTGTGTGAAGAAAGCCACCGGCGGTTGGCGCATCGTGCATGCTTTTAACAAGTTGAATGACGCCACGATCCCGGCTCAAACACCAATTCCTCGGAAAGACATGGTACTGGATACCATGTCCGGCAGCGAGATTTTTAGCGCCATAGACCTGACAGACGGGTTTTACCAGATTTTAATGAGGGACAGTGATATCCCGTTCACCGCTGTCAGCACACCGAGTGGGATGCTTTGGGAGTGGCTAGTCATGCCACAAGGCCTTAAGAACGCTCCAGCAACGTTCAACCGAATGGTGACACAAGTGCTTCGGCCACTACGTGATTTCGCTCCAAGCTATTTCGACGATATCTTCGTACACAGCCGCGCTGAGCAACAACTCAGCGCTACGGAGGTCCACCTTCGGCATTTGAAACAGGTGTTCCAAGTGATGCGCGAGAACAAACTGTACGCAAATTTGAAGAAGTGCGTCTTCTGCGCTCCCGAGATTCCAGTTCTTGGATGCTATGTTAGCAAGGAAGGTGTCCATGCTGAACCCGAGAAAGTGTCATCGATATGTTCATGGCCTACGCCCAGGAACCAAACGGAACTACGCCAATGGCTTGGCTTGGCCAATTACTTGCATAAGTATACGAAGAACTATGCAGAACTAATCCAGCCACTATCGACTCTACTGAAGAAAGACGCAGTTTGGTCATGGAAAGCTGAACATCACTCTGCCTTCAACTCTGTGAAAAAGAGCTTGTCTGAAGCACCAGTGCTGATGTTGCCTGATGATTCCAAGCCATTTCACGTCGTCTGTGATGCGAGTGATTTCGCTATTGGATGTGCCCTCATGCAGTTTGACGATGAGGTCCAAGAGCGCGTCGTGAGCTTTCAGTCACGGCAGATGAAACCCGCAGAGCGGAACTATCCGGTACATGACAAGGAACTTTTGGCTATGCGTTACGCGCTGATCAAGTTCAGAGTATATTTGCTCGGCGAGAAGATGTTTTCGGTCTATACAGATCACGCATCATTGCGTACCGCCGTCAAGACTCCCCACTTGTCCCAGCGTATGGCACGTTGGTTGTCATACTTCTCAGAGTATAATTTCGTGGTCTTTTACAAACCCGGCAAGAACAACATTCTTGCTGACGCGCTTTCTCGACGTCCCGATTATGATCCTCGACGTGACATGGGTCATCAGCCAGGCATTGCTGAAGACGAGGACGACGACATTTGTTTATGCTGTGCTGAGCAGGGGCTCAATGCAATGATTTCGACACCTGAGCTGTCAATCCGGACTCAAATCGCTGAGTCATATGCGAACGATTCATTCTACACGGGAATCATCAATTATCTTCGACACCCTAGTGAGGGTTCACTCGCGAAGTTGACGAAACCAACGCGTGACAACATCAAGCGGTACGCGCTTGATGGTCCGCTGCTGACTTATACAATGGACGTTTTCGACCCACCGCGCGTCGTCATCCCTGCTGATGACGACCTCCGCGCACGATTGGTGCATGAATTTCATGACACTCCAACTGGTGGTCATTTGGGTCGCGAGAAGACGTTCGCGGCCATCTCTCGTGTGTTTTTCTGGCCGCGTATGTACAAATACATCCAGAAATGGGTACGCTCTTGTGAAATATGCCAGCGTGTGAAGCCTGCGCCGTCTTCACAAGCTCCATTGCGTCCGCTTCCGATTGCCACGGAAGCCTGGCGTTCGGTCAGCATAGATTTCATCTTTGGTCTCCCTCCGGACGAACAGAAACGCACGGGCGTATTGGTTTTTGTGGATCGATTTAGCAAAATGGTGCATTTTGCTCCAGTCTCCGCGCACGTTACGGCGGAGACGACCGCGCAGATCTTCATCGATCTCATATTTCGACATCACGGCTTGCCTGAATCAATTGTTTCGGACCGCGACCCGCGCTTTACATCAGCTTTTTGGGCAACGTTGTTTCAACTATTGGGCACGCGACTGCTTATGTCTACGGCAGCCCATCCAGAGACGGATGGGCAAACGGAGCGCGTGAACAGAGTGCTTGAAGATGTACTACGCAGTTATGCGACATCGTTCCAGTCGTGGAGTTCGTTTCTCCCTCTCGCTGAATTTGCAATCTACAACGCAATTCATGCGTCGACTGGGTTAACGCCATTTTTCGTGAATAACGCGAGGCACCCTCGCGTTCCAGCGCTTCTTGCTCTTTCAGCTTCAGCACACCCAGTTTCTCAGCTTGGTGGGGGAGTATCTCCCGATGACACTACGCGAAAAATTTTGATGATTGGTAATGTTGAAGACAAGGTTGCTGCCGATGCAACTCATACTGTTAATTTCGTGGCCAATGGCATATCGAGTCCCGACGCGATGCATCCCATCGCGTCTCCCGTCGCTAATTTTGCTCCTAAAGAGTCCACTTCTCCTGTAAGTTCGGCTGCTGTGACCGAATTCCTATTACTACGGCAAAGTATCACGCGTTTTGTACGCGATGCACTCCAAGAAGCAGTGGATAAACAAAAGGAGAACGCGGACAAGCGAGGTCGAAAGAACTTGCTGACGTTCAAAGAAGGTGACAGAGTCTTACTATCGACAAGCGGATTACCAGACACGTCAGTAACGAATTTGGGCGCTAATAAATTAGCGCCAAGATATATTGGGCCCTTTCGGATTGTTGAAGTCCATGGAGATGCTTACACGCTAGACATACCTACCACTATGCGTTTGCACCCGACATTCTATGTCGGGCGCCTTAAGGCTTACCTGCCGGCGGATCTCCCTTTGGTCCTTCCTCACTCGTCTGTATCGGCTCAAAGTCCGACACCCCCTGCCGACGACGCTGACGACGACTGGGACCAAGTCCTAGACGAGCGCGAGCAGACTCGTTCTGCTGGGGTCCACCGAACGCAGCAGTCTCGAGCTGTCGCAGACGCTCCACCAAGCCCTGCTGCTCCCGTCGGGTTCTCTCGGCAGCCTCTGTCGCAGCTGCTGCACGATCTCGAGCCCTCTCGGCCATCTCACGGGCATCCAGAAGGCCGTTCATCGCCTCTTCAGTGTCAGCACGAAGGAAACGAAGCTCGTCACTCGACGGCACAGGCGCCCGATTATGAGAATCGGCGCCCAACCCAAGAAGCCTTCCGTCGTGATGCTCCTCCTCCCTTGGTAGATGCATCGGGTGAGCGACGCTGGATTGTGGACCGTATCGTCGGTCATGAAGACCCCACGCCTCTTGCGCCGAGTAGTGGCTCGGCGCCATCGAAGAGTCGTTCAGAAACGCATTACAAGGTCCGATGGTTGGGTTATTCACCAACGGAAGACACGTGGGAGCCTCGAAGTATGCTGGCTCACGATGTTCCTGACGTCGTTGAGGAGTACGAGACCAGTAAGAGGTCGGCGAACGCGACCGACGCTGCTGACTCCTTCCACGATCCCGCGAACCGTAACGTGCGTGAATTGGCGATCGACGACGATCTCCCCGAGCGACTCCGACGTCTTCTACGAGGATCGGGAGCATTTGGATACCTTGACGGTCGAGAGCGACTACGAGAACGACCTCGGTGGTCGTAAGACAAACGATCTCGACTACGTGAACGCCTCCATTGATCGACAGGGCGTTCCCTCATGTGACGCAACGCAGATACTTGGAGCTCTGAGAGGCTCCTCTCATAGCGTCCGATCCATGGTCGGATGTGCTGGGGCATTCCCCGTGAACACACCATGTCGTCCCATTCCTGCCGCATTGGTCGCGGTCTCTCCATGTGACACCGTGGACACCCTTCACGGACATGGACGTAACACATGTGGAACCCATCACGAGTCAAATGACATACGCGTCGTCGTAAGTCGCCAATAGCGTGGTCGCCATGAGTACTTTCGCGTCCCTCGATCCAGGACGTGAAGGATGCCCCTTCACGTCGACTCGCGTTCCAACGTCTGATGAAGGCACACCAAGATCGTTGCAGTGCGTCTTCAGTGTATGTGTGATTCGTTCCCTTGCCTCGAACGTTACGGTATCGTGTGAAGAGATTCTTCATGGTCTCAAGTGATTCAGGTTGGTGCGCGCCTTCAAGGCTGTACAAGCCCCACGGCTTCAAGTCGTCATCCATGGTCTGCGGTGCACGCTCTCTTCGAAGTGTCTGATGACCCCAACTGTCGTTTGGGATCGAGTCGCGTGGGTGTTCAGGGATTCATGCTGCTCAGTTGTTTGTGGCTGAGCAGATTCGAAGACCAAGATGACGTGTCGTTGGAGTTCTCGTTGGGCTTTTCGTTGGACTATTCGTTAAGAAGAAACTTTCTGTGTATGGCGCTTACGTCATGGTAAGCGCAACTTAAAGAGGGGGGTGATGTAATGGGGCAACCCATTATATTAAGTAGTCATAGTTTTATTACATAATTACATACATTAAGTGTAGGCAGTATCCGGATAGCGGATACTGCGCGTCTATTTATTATTGGTTTATTATTGGGGTGCCTGACTCAATAATTAGCCAATAATAATTAGTTCTGTATTTGAGTGGTTCCCATGAGCTAGGGAACATATTCGCACTTACTGCGAATTATAAAAACACAAAAATACAAACAGAGTTAAATTTACCTTATAAATCACAGCGCTTCCTTAGCTTAATTATTAGTGTAAGACGGTAACGGGCTCTCACCCCGTTACATAATTGTTGACGGTCATCGGCTTCTACCAGTATTGGTAACCGTGACCGGTCCAATCCGAACCGCCTGTTCAGCTTAGTATTTACGACGTAGTTCTTACGGTAATTACCATAGTTGATTAGACGCGTAGGATGATGAGACGCTTCACATGATTTATATGTGCACTACATATTAATCATGTAGTAAGTAGTAAGCCCCGATAATCAATCACTTTCCAATCTTCCATCTACCCCCAAGTGTATTCTCCGGTCTTCCGAGTGGACTCCCAGCATCACTCCCAGTTTCGGTCGTCAAGCTTTACACCTACCAACACTAATGATATTATCAACGAGATTCTCAGCATACTAAACCTCGCTTAGGTCAACTATAACCTCCTTGCCATCGACAGCCGTCCTCAGCTAAGCTGTTCCCTTCTTAGTTACTCAACCGTTGTGTTGTTCGCCGCGCGGCACGATTAATCACAATCAAATGCATTCTGGAGCATTTTCACATCTTTACAAGGTGCACGCTCGACCCGCTGTTCAGTATCCACGAGTCATAGTCAGCTTTTGTTCCAGTCCCACTAGCTAACGCGACTCGATTTGAAGTCGACTTTTCACCACTTCGTTGCTTGGGGCACTTGGATTTGGTGTGACTAGTCTCACCGCATCCGTAACATGTACGTGTGTCGGTACTTGCAACCCTTGCTACATGTCTTCCTCCACGCCCGATTTGATCTCTTCGAGCACTGTTAGGGTATTGAACTGCTTGCTCGCGAATTGTTCGTCCCGCTCGGCTGCTTCCTCCTTTGACCCTCGTCTTCCCCATGCTGATGTCGAAGTCTATCGCAAATGCAACAAGCTCAGCGGCTTGCACTAGATAGTCCGTTCTCTGCGCATTCAACCTTGTCAGCATTACAGTCTTAATGTGTCCAGGCGCTGACTTGCAAAGACATTTTAAAACACTCTGCTCCGAGTTGCCAGATCGCTCCGCCACGTACACCAAGTACTAATAATGCTCAGGTCATGTCTTGCTGTGCTCTTTTTCCCTCGTCACGAGATCAATTCCTATCGTAGATGGTATCGGGGCCATGTACAGCATCAGCATGCTGTTCATGACGTGCTCTAGTGTGTTCGGCCCAGCTCACCAAACCGGTAGCATCTTCTCGTAGTAGCTGAGTGCTGAACCTTCCAGCTTACCGCTCAATGCAAGAATCTTGAACTCTTCTGGCCAATCACCTCCGCTCATCATCTGTGCTGAGCCAAGTCGTTGCAGGAAGCGTATTCCCCATGCTTTAGAGTCGGCGCCCACACATGGATATGTCTCTCTACCCGTAAACTTAGCAAATCCATGCCAGTCCAGGTCTCTTGGTTTAGGTATCTTCAACCCGAAATCATTTGGTGTCACAAAAGGGTGTGACGGTTCAGGTGACCGATACCGCTCGTCTTGCTGAGGCGGCTGATTCGGTGGCACGCGCATTCGTTGCGGCGGCTGGTGAGGCGGCGGCATGCGTGCTTGATGCATCGGCTCATCGAGTGAGCCCATCCTCATTTGACGGTCACGCGCATGAATAACTCGGTAAACGCGCTTGATCCGTTGAATAATCGCTCGTAGGGTGTTGTAGGCGCAGCTTGAGCGTTTCGGCTCATCTGATCTTGCATCTTCAGCTAGTTTTTCATGAACTGGGCTTGCTGCTGCGCCATTTCTGCGAGGAGTCCCTCAAGTCTATGTATTCGCTCAGAGCTCACGTCAGAGACACAACTCGCGCTATCTTGGGCCTCGGGAGTGCCCGGGGCTGATGGCGTCTCTTCGCGCATCACGAAAGGATAAGTGACCACGTTGAGAGTGGTTGGATCCGTTTCAGCGGCGAAGCGTGCCTGGGCGTGCTGACGAAGAGGTGAGTTGTTCGATCTTGGGCTCATAACCTGTTGAAGCGGGCTTAGAGATAGGAAGTAAATTGAGAAATGTCTTTGAGCTTATGCATTTGGTTACCTAGGCTGTCCGTTACCTTTACTGTCTGTTACCTTCAATGTCCGTTACCTTCAATCTCTCCTGCGTAGGTTTCTTCAAATCACCTTGCCCATCCCGATGGTTGCGTCGTTTCACCATCACTTATGTCCTGTCCCATCAACAGTCGCGCCCTGTCACATCATTAGTCGCACTGTTTCAACACAGCAACATTAATCTTTTCTTCAGTGAGGGCTTCCGCGCTCTCACTGGCATCATCTTCTTCGATATCGATGTTATCGATATCGGCATCAAACGCAATGACCTCTTCGTCAGAGCGTGATGAGCGTGAACCAAATCGGTTTTTGCTCGCGCGAGTCTCTCCCCCCCTTAAACCAGAGTCACACTCTATTAAGGTGGGTACAAGCGGATGGCGCAAGCCATTCACGTAAAACGGTGTATGTGTCGTGGGCGCATGCACCGAGTTGTTAATGGCAAACTCTACCATTGGCAAGAACTCACTCCAACTCTTAAAGGAGTGTACGTATCCTCGAAGTATCTCTTCAAGGACACGGTTGGCACGTTCCGTCTGACCATCTGACTCTGGATGATCAGATGTAGACATCTTCAAGCGCGTTCCGAGTGATTTGAACACGGAACGCCAGAAATCAGCAGTGAATCGTGGATCTCTGTCTGATACGAGTTCACGGGGCAACCCATGAAGTCGGAAGATGGTGTCAATAAAGACACGAGCACAGCCACTTGCCGTGATTGACTCTGGTACAGCTACAAGGTGTACCATTTTGCTGAATCTGTCAACAATACGAGAATACCCGTATTCCCGCGTGCGTCTATAGGTAACCCGAAGACGAAATCCATTGAGATGGATTCCCAGCACTCTGCCGGAACCGGTAGAGACTGTTAAGGTGCACGCAGTGAAGGACTTGACTTCACTCGTTGACACCCTTCGCATGCGCGAACATACTTTTGCACGAACTGATACTGGCGGGGCCAGTAAAAGTCTCGACTCACCGTGATATATTTTTTCTCTCGGCCACGATATCCTCCTATAGGAGCACCGTGATACTCGAACATGATCCGCAAACGCAGATCAGTATCATCTGGAATGACAACACATGGTGTGTCAACAGTAACGGCTGCATAATACAGTAAAACGTTGCGAGTAGTGTATCGATCTGATACAGATCAATACGCAGACTACAATCGTTTCAACGATTCTCGAGATGGTTGTGAGAGATGTGTCAACAAATTCACAATCTCACCATCTTGGGCATACGCCCGCCTCACATCATCATGCAACGTTGAAGATGGTACTGTGAACGTCATAACCGCAACAGTGGCTGTCCCACTGTCGGGTTTCACGACTGGTTCAAAGTCGGGCCGACGTGAGAGCGCATCAGTGACGACATTAAGTCTTCCTGGTTTGTACTCTACCGTAAATTTGTATTCTGCAAAGAATGACAACCACCGCGCCATTCGTTGTGAAAGGTGCGGGCTGTTCACTGCCGTGCGTAATGACGCATGGTCAGTGTAAACAATGAAGGATCTATCTCCTAATAGATAGACTCTGAACTTCGCGAGTGCACACTTCATGGCAAGGAGTTCCTTGTCATGCCCTGGATAGTTCCGCTCAGCTGGTTGCAGCTGACGCGACTGATAGCAGACGACGCGTTCAACGCCTTCAAGATCGTACTGCATTAATGCACGGCCGATTGCGAAATCGCTGGCATCACAGACCACATGAAATGGCCTGTCCTGATCGGCTATTGCTAGGACTGGGGATTGTATCAAGCTCTGCTTGATACCATCAAAGTAGCGCAGACATTCAGCGTTCCATAACCACCTCTCGTTCTTTTTCAACAAACGAGAGAGGTGTACAGTCATCTCGGCGTAATTGCGTGAATACTTGTGCAAATACGCCGCTAGCCCAAGGAATTTTCGAAGACCTTTGACATCAACCAGCACAGGCCAGTCGGTGATCGCCTTGATCTTTTCGGGATCAGGACGTACTCCGTTCTTACCAACGATGCACCCAAGAAGTGGTATTTCGCTTGCTGCAAATATACACTTCTTGAGGTTTGCATACAATTGATGCTTTCGCATGATTGTAAGAACCTGGCGGACGTGGTACCTGTGAACCTCAACATCCGACTTTCCATCCATAGCCCGACTGTGGATGAATACGTCATCGAAATAACTCGGCGCCAATTCTCGTACTGATCTCAACAGATGTGCTACACATCTGTTGAGCGTGGCAGGGGCATTACTAAGCCCTTGTGGCATTACTAGCCATTCCCGGAGCATGCCGCTAGGCGTGCTAACTGCGGTATAGGGTATATCCCGTTCCCGCATAAGGATTTGATAGAAGCCATCCATCAAATCCATGGACGAAAAGATGGTACTCTTTGACATACCATCAATGATTACGTCCTTCCTCGGTATCGGCGTCTGAGCCGGTACCGTTGCAGCATTCAACTTGTTAAATGCATGCACAATCGGCCACTCTCCTGTTGCTTTTCGCACACAGAAGGTCGGAGAGCTATGTGGGGATGTTGATTCCCTCACATGGGTTGCAGCTAAACGATCGGCAAAGAACTTGTCGGTCGCAAGTACTTATTCACGAGGCAGTGGCCACTGCTTCATGACACAGCACTTCGAGCCTGGTTTAAGCTCGACCTCCTGCCGAGTACCTTTATTCTTCGGTAACTCGCACGGAGCAGTTTCAGGGAATACATCCTTGAATTCAACCAAATCTTCATAGAGAGGATTTGTCTTGAGCGAATCCCACGATTGGGAGTCATATCGCTCAACTCGTGTCTTTTCATCGAGGACGCTCTCGTCCATCGATGAACTACTGAAAACTCTTTCGTTCTCAGTGAACACTGTTGCTGACCTTATGTCGGTTACACACTCGTCGTCAGCGACGAGTATGCAGATCTGCTTGACTTTGCCACTACGCAGATCACGCAAGGACCTTTTATGTTCGAGCGTTGGTAACTGAGTGATCCCCGAAGTTAACTTCGGAGGCGCAATCAGATCAAGTGTATAAGCGTCTATACTTGATCCGTCATTGACTAGGACATTCAATGTCTCTGTCATTTCCTGGGGACTTATTCCCTCAGGCTTCGAAGGACTTATTCCTTCGGCTTCCCGGGGACTTATTCCCGCGGGTTTCGGGGAACTTATTTCCGCCGTATTTGTAATCTTGGGACTTATTCCCTTTACTTCCTCTAGCTGGGGTTGCGCAACCATAGCGAGATCCTCTACGAAAGACTCTCCAGTCGATCTAGGATTATCGTTTCGCTTAACCTGAGCGATCGATTGTTTCTCTTCTAGATGTTCCCCGCTAGGGATACAACTTTGTCCCGGTCCACTCGACTTATTCGAGTGATGGCCTTCGGCGCAGCCTGTGTTTCGTCACAGCCGCCGGAATCTTGCTCCGAAGTGTAACCGTTTCTTACACTAAGGTTTTGTGCAGTCGTACTAACGACCGTACCACACGTGAGGCCATCGCACTCACTCGTAGTACATCCACACGCTTGTGGACGCTCCAAAACGTTCATCAGATGGCCATCTGATGAACAAGCGGCAGGCATCGTTACTGTTCGATGTTGCCAGTTTACCCGTGCTTCGTACCTTCTGAGCCACGGTATTCCAAGGATGACATCAAATTTTTCATCCACATCCAATACGATAAAGTCATCATCATATTGGGTATCTTCTAGCGTACAGTGGATCTTCACTATACGCTTCATGACGGTTACGGATGCGCCTGTCGCAAGACGTACCAACATCCTCGTAGGAGGTGTGTCACATTCACTGAACTTAAAATGACCATCTTCTAGCGATTGGCGTCGCACAAAATTGTTGGAGGCCCCACAATCGACTAGAGCTCGAAGCGACAACTCATTTGTCACTTCGAGTTTCAAGGTAATGGGTGAGATCTCATTACCTAGAGCAGCAACGCACAACGTTTCTGTGTTGGGAGCAGCCTTCATCGAGAACCCTACAAATTCTCTTGACGTTTCTGGACCAGTAGGGTGCTCCACACCTACTGATCCTGTCCGTTTTTTACGGTCCATCCCTTTGTTGCGTCTTTGCACCAACAGCGGACCCGCGTCCCTGCCCCTTTATCATGGGTGGACGGTCACTACGCCCAGTGTTGCGAGACACTGGACGAGGGGCACTACACTCGTAAGCGTAGTGTCCTGTCTTCTGACATCTGTTGCATTTCTGCAACTTCTTGTAGTCTGTAGAGCGAGCCTTCTCGCTCTCTACATAACAGAGTTCCATCGGCTCTGGACCTCCGCTGTCATATCGTCTCGGTTGACGATATGATGTCGAGCTGGCGCGAGCCTGTCTCAGACTGAAGTCTTCCTGTTCCGCAATGGATACGGCTTGTTTTAGTGAATCTAGTTCAAGCCGGAACAGGTGAGTCTTGACGGGACCATCCGCAAGACCCTGCATGAACATCGAAACCAACGTGTGTTGATCAACCAGGTTGGAACTTATACAACTCGTGAGATGTCGTATATGTTGTGCGTAAGTGTGCACATCACGCTTACCTTACTTGAGCTTCAAGAGTTCGGTTGGAGCTCTGAACTCAGCTCCAGGCGGTTCAAACGTTTTTCTGAGCCGCGACTTGAAGACTTTCAATGACTCAAACACATATGGGTCGTGCAACTTGAGCCCCAAAGCCCAAGTCTTGGCACGTCCTGCCAGATTTGACTGGGCAAACGCAACTTGCATTTCCCCGTCGTCGATGCGACGCGCCCTTATGGCGTCATCCAATTCGACGAACCATCTCAAGAGGGAGTCCTTTTCGACTCCCCTGGACTTGGAGATGTCAATCTTCAATGTCTCGGGTCGACGCGAGTGCATCGACCCACCAGCAGCAGCCTGCTGCTGTCTTCAATAGTTCAAACTGTTGAGCACCCTGTTCTCTCAACAGCTCTGATTTTTAAGAGCCTTGTTGGTGAAGCGAGGCTACTTTCTCGCGTTCAGCGTCAAGTTCATTTTGAATGAACTTGGCGATAGTAGCATGTTGGGCATCTATATTGAGAGCCTCTAGCATGACGCTAACAGCATGGATGCCCATGGTTGAACCCATCCGTTCAGCCGCATCCCATTCGACATCGCTCAAATGGGAGTAGCCGTCACGCGTAGCGTGAAAGCTTTGGTCATCTTCGTCATCTAACATATTCATGTTGGATGTGAACGTGGTCCTTGGACGGACTACGAAGTGCTGCCAGGTGTAACGGGGCACCCTGAAGCTTGTAATGATGACAGTACAAGCTACTTATTCTGATGACAGAATAAGGCGGTGCCTCGGAACTTCACGTACACTGGTACGTGCAGAGGAAGACGGTAAGAAGAAGCGAGTACTTGGTTAAAGTAAAAAGTAGAACTGTATTTATCATAGTTAATGTCTGCAATAAACCACTATTTATCCTCATCTAACTATGTCTGAATACAAATGTGCATATCAATTACCTGCTCACCACTCATTGCGTGCGTCTGTCGTGGCGCGTCTTCGTTGGTTGATAGAATGGCCTACATCAACCAATTAGGAACTACTCGTAAGTGCTGCAGAATATTTGTGCTTATGACAATATTCTGAGAATATAACTCTTATAGTTATATTCTATTAACAATTTCTTATAACTTGTTATGTAACGGTTCGCCCCGTTACAGGAACCGATGTAGACTCTCGGTTGAGAGGTCCGTGGAACCAGACGAAGCCACAAAGACTCGTCACATCGTCAATATACAAATGCAGATTGTATTGGCTCAACCAAACTTGGTAGTGCGTGCAAAGACATGGAACTTGGGCCTTAAGTTACACGACCATACGTCTTTGGGTCGTAAGAACTTCTTGTGTCCCTGCATAAGCGAACATTGAAGCCACCGCGAGCTGAGATCAGGGATCCCTCTGAACTCCTGAAAATCAAGCAGCGTAAACGTGATGTATACTCGTATTTTCAGTACATACGTCACCTGACCAGTTGCATAACAGTCGATATACTGAGCAAACAAACGTTGATTACGCTGTTCATGCAGTGTAACGGGGCACCCTTAGCTTGGTTGCCACGAAACTTCACGTACACTCGTACGTGCACAGGAAGCTAATCTACTCAAACAGCTAGTTTGAGTGAAATGTAAAAAGAGAACTGAATTTATTATAGTCAAACTATCAATATAACTTCAGTCTTTATCTTACTGTATCAATCTACATTGTCGTATGACTACAACATGCTCAGCACTTATTGCGCGCGTCTAGCAGCGATTGGTGGTAATCTTGGTTGATATGTCTTTATCAACCAATCTTTGAGCGATGCATGAATATCATTCAAAAGCGGGATAATATTCCTTCAATATTATCCATCTCGGATAATATTGGTAGGATATTGTCATGCTAGACAATCTCCCTATTGACACAGTTTGGTGTCAATAATGTAACGGGCTGCCCTTACATCACCCACTCTTTTACATCAATCACCACGGTGTTTGATACAAATTGATCGGGTACAGGGGGACTACCGTTGGATCACTCTGGGAAAGGATGCACTTGTTGGTCAAATTCCATTCATTTTGCCAATTCATGGCATGGTTTTAAAGTCCATGCGGTGTGCTGCCGAAGCAGCCAAAAAGGCAATTGCACGTATGCGTGCATCCGAAGAGAGTACTTCTCAAGCCTCAGTAGCAGGTGAATGTTCACCTGCTGTTGCGATTCAGCAACAGACGGTGCCTGTTGTGAACAGTCCACGTGGTGAGTAACCTCGTGCGACAGATACATCCGCTGCGTCTGCACTGGGTGCTGCGACTCGCAATATGGATGAGCCTGAAATAGAGCTCATCTGTTCTGGAAAGCCGGATGATGCATCCGACTCAAAGGCGGCGCATCCTGCCTCCGGATCACCCGGGGAGGACATTGTCAGAGCCAGGTTAACCGGCTCTGGGTAACATGGAGCTGTCACGTTGGAGATCTTCGGACCAAGCGATTCGTCTGACGAACCCTCGTCTCATCCAAGGAGTTGGATAAAGTGGCCGGTATGACAATCGAACGGGATCGAATCTCGTTATTCGACTGTATTGACAGTTTTCGGATTTGGAACTTTGTTTCCTGTATCGATTAATCGATTCAATCCGATCTTACGAAATTACGGTAAAGTACGTACCAAATGGTTAAATGGATAATATGATAGGACGAGGACATAAATCATATTGATTAGATGCACCATGTGATCGGATGCAGTCTAGAGTAGGCATGACTAAGGCCTGTAAATAATTACTTCCTAACATTTGTTTTTCACTCAAGTGTCTTCACTCTGGTCTTTTAAATGAAATCCCACAGTTTCAAGCTAACCTCTCCGACGTTCAAGATTCATACCTTCCAGATAACTGCGCGCCATGGAGCCGCTACATGCGTGGCTTGTTCCTGGCCAAGTCAACGTGGCATATCGTGAACCGCAGGGTGACAACGACCTTCGCCGACCCGCGAGCTATGGACGACTACGTCAAGGCAAGCAACATCGCTTTCGGTCTGATGCTACTACAAATGGACGCAGACTATCATCACGTGCTTGGTGATTGCAAAGAAGCGTGGGTTGCGTGGAAACGCTTGAAGAAACTCTACGGTGGCTCTCAAAAGGCTGGTCGCATTTACCTCAAGCGACAGCTCTTAAGCATGGAGATGAAGGAAGGCGGCAATGCGATGCATCATTGCAATAAAGTCCTCAACATCAGCGTCAATCTCAGCAGCATCGACGCCGAAAGGGGGGACAAGGACGTGATGATCTGCTTGTTGCGCAGCCTCTCCAGGAGCTTCGAGAATAGCGTGCTGAATCTAGAGATGAGTAGCGCGGAACTGAGATTGCTTGATGTCGTGAAGTGCTGAAGAATGAACGCTTCAAGAGGTAGAGTGACAAGAAAGCATCAATTAAGACTAAAGAAGCGGCCAAGGCTTTCAGTAACGAGCGTGAGCCTCGCCAGTGTACGTACTGCGGGAAATTGAGGCATACGGCAGAGCGGTGCTGGACCAAGCAGAGATAAACTATCACGGGGCTCGACGCGGCTGCAAAAATGGTCGTGGACGCGGAGCCAACAATGTCTAATGGCGATACAACGACAGCGATGAAGGCTACAATCTTGTGGCTTTTGCTGTTTCGCTGGAATGTGGACTCTCGACGGGCAAGAATATGCCAGGAATGTGGGCGGTCGACAGTGGCGCAACGCACCACATCTGCAACAACAAGGCCAAGTTTACGACGTCGGATGAACAAGACGAAAGTGTTTTGTTAGTGGCCGACGGCAGAAAAGCCGGAATCAAGGGGTGTCGGGATTATCATCGAGAGAGTGGTCCTACCGAGTGGCGAAGAGCGCGAAATTAAGATCAAGGATGCGCTATGTGTTTCAAGCATGATAAGAATCTGCTATCGGTGCCGCAGATTAGCAAGAGTGGCGTGTTTCAAGTGTTGTTTGACGGTGAAGCATGAATATTGCTCGCAAAGAATCGAAGCAAGTGAAGGCGACGGCAGATCTCGTGGACGGACTCTACTGGCTGCGCACACCAAAATGTTCAGTGAACGCAACCACATCGGCACGCAACGTGGACTTGCACGCGCGTATGGGTCATGCTCCTATTGACGTACTGTGCAGAATGATCAAACATGGTATGGTAAAGGACGCAAAAGAACCATCAAAGAGGACGGGCACATACCGCAGGTGTCAACTGGGAAAAATAGTCCAAAAACCGTTCCCAAGCAATCGTGACAAGCGCCGATGCGATACGTTTGGGCTTCTCCATTTCGACATCTGCGTTCCTGTGGAAGAAGAATTTTTTGGTGGCAGCATGTATCGGGGTCACACTAGCCATCATCTAGATTAATTGAAAATCTCCCATACGAAATATGGGAGACAAGTGTGGCCTTAGATTTTATAATAAATAAGGAATACCGGCTTTACGGTACTCTCTAAGTTACGGTGATTACTGTGGAAGTACTTTGTATCGTCATCATTTAATGACTGAGTGATGTGCTGACCATCCATTTAGTTCGAAAACTTATATTTGTATCAGATCCAGTTTAGTCTAATGTAGGGTACTTCAAGTAGGCTTTTCCTTATTATAAAATCTGAATAAACTTAGTTCTCATTTTGAGCAGACGCCAGTAGACTCCCTCCTCCACACATTGCGCTTGAATGTTCCTTAGAACTGTCGTGGGTTAGAGAGCCCTTAGACTCCTGTATTTCCCTTTGCACATGGTGCGTGTAGTTCCTTACAATTAAAATAGTTTGAGCTAATAGCTCATAGAGTCCACGCTAAGTTTTGTAGAACTAGCCGAAACTTGAACTTGATATATTAGTTTCTTAGAACTAATTTGCTGTAAGCCGTAAGCCTCTGACTTAACCCGTAATGTCTTCCTCTGACTTAAAGGCTTTAATAGCTCTGCTACACAGCAGTTATTTGCTTCTCATCGTGGACGAAGCAAGCGGGTGCATAACATGCGTCTGCCTAAGTGCCAAGTCTGAGAGTGAAGATCGTCTCAAGAACTACATTATCAAGGTGCAAACACAATACAACAAGCAAGTCAAGTTCGTTCGTCACGATGGGGCCCGCGAGTTTGCTTCTAAATAATTCAAGGTGTTCTGCGAAGACCACGACATCGAGAAGCAAACGATGGTGCCATGCGCGCACCAGACTAAAGTCACAGCGGAAAGGGCCATTCGGACCTGTCACGATTGGTATCAGTATGCTGCATCATGCAAAGCTGGAGAAATGCTTCTGGAAAGAAGCAGTGTTAAAGACAATCTACATTAAGAGCTGTCTACTGTCCCCCAAGATTAATCACAAAACCCCGTTCGAGATCGTGTACAAGTCGAAGCCGAGTCTCAAGCACATGCGTGCGTTTGGATATCGGACATATGTCCTGACTCCAAAGGAGAAACGTCTCAATTGGGACCCCAAGGCTTGCACTGGTGTTTGTATGAATTATAAAAAGTGTCGAAGGCATTCCGTGTTTACGATGTCAAAACAGGACAAGCGGTGATCAATCGCTACATTTACTTTGGCGAGACAGAAATTGGTTTCTCAAAGTGAGCTCAAGTAACGATTGAGTCGGTCTGGAATTCGACTGCCTTAAAATCAGTGACGACGGCTGGGCTCAACAGATGTCAGACTGGCTGGAAATCGCAAGCATCGTCCAAGTGATGTCAGTGACAAGCTAACGGACTCTCATCAAAGTTATCGTGCAGCTGGTTTAGAGAAGCAAATTGCTCCTAGCCAGGACTCTCGGCGTCAAGTTAAACGTCAACCGGGTATGCGAATGGAGCCTGCACTGAATGGAAACAAAAAAGAATTTTTTTTGCACGATAATAAAGATGCTAACTCGAGCCCTCCTGCATTTTGGAGTGGCTGAAAAGGCTTCGGCCTTCACAGCATTTGTAATTTCTTACAAATGCTGTGAAAGCCGAAGCCTTTTCAGAGCTGTGGTGGAGTGGGTCATCAAAACCGTTTGACGAGACCCCAGACCACTCACAATGTCGGACTTCTGAATGTCAAAGGGGGTACCCCGGTGCCGATTGCGGACCTTGAATCACCTTGTGAACCCGTCGGCTTGGCGGGTTTCACTCTTTGGAGCACTTGGTGATGATGTAGACGTCGGCCTTGATGGAGGTCGACCTGGGGGGGGGCAAGCGGACATGCTTCAGTAGGGATCCAATGTAGGCGGCCACTCGATCGACTCGGTCGAGAGTGATCTTACATAACCAGTTGTCTCAGGTGCTGGTGGCGCCTGGCCTTTGCTTGTATCAGGGGTGTTACCCGCCTGGCCTTTATGTGTCTTCTCCATTACCATTAGGGTACGGAGACAGCTTCCTATAGCTGGCTTGGGTTGGGGGGGAGGGCTACTCTACGAGCCAACAGGCCAATGTACTTCCTGGGGTTCTATTTACGCTTGTGTCTTACTGACATCTGTCTATTCGACGGGTGGGCCAAACAGATCCTTGGCCAGAACAGGTCGGTAGACTTACAAATTGCTTAGCGCACGACACGTTGTGCTACTTATATCTCAAATTGATCAGTATTTAATGTTATCCTACTCTTTAAACTCCTTTACTCTATTTTTGCCTCGCACCTGGGTTCGCAGTGATGAGTGGCTGGAAGCCACCAGACCTTGAGGTAGCGCGTCGACCTCTGAGTGACCAGGTCGGCTGATAGGTGGACAGGTCAGCCTACGGGGAACCGAGGTCCACCTTGGGCGACCAGGCCGACCGGCGAGTGGTTTGAGAACGATCCATATCGGTACCGTTTAACTGGTACAGCCGGTCGGTGTGACCCCGTTAGTGGTAACCTTAACCACTCGTCACGGTTGGACCCAAAGGCCAATCTTTTCTTGCAACTTCCATTTCTCTGGTCCCTTTCCCGGCCGCGAGGTCTCATATCCATCCGGCTCCTCGACACTTAAGTCTATCATTTTCAAAATGCTCGCTTCACCACAGCCGCACCTTGCACCTGCTAGGCCGTACAGTGGTTCGAGTACGAGCATGTCATCAACACGCCAGTCCCGTAAGTTACGCCTGCTCTTGTGGCCGATATCTTGTCACTAACTGTGTGCTTGCAGCCATATCTTCACCTGGATCCGATTCAATATTTTAAAGTCCGGCTTCGACTCCTTCGCCACCACCTGCACCCTCGTGAGAGGTCTCTACCCAGGCGGACGCAATCGCAGCATCGCCTGTCGTCTCCGGTTCTTCAGATTCTTCATCGTTGGTGAACGCAGGAGAGGCCGCCGTGACCACGTGGTCGACTTCGTCACCGGTGGAGTCGGCTCCAGTCACTTTTGGTGTGGGGTCGCCCCCAGTCGTGACTGCTGTCCGAGCCGCTCCCGCTCATGTCGACTCGGCCCCACCGAAGAACCCCGTCGTCGTCCGTCCTCCCATGAGCGTACCACCCGTTGATGTGGTGGCGCTGTCTCGCCGTGTTGGGACCGGTCGACCAGTTGGGCGCCCTTCATCTCTCGGACTCTACTTGGTCATAGATTTCCCAGTACAGACTCACCTCTGAGCCCCACCCAGGAACCAAGGTCGCTCGCCTTCAGAACAAGTTCTTTCCTCCTTCGTATAAGTATTGCTTAAAACACAATTCTTTCAATGTGTTTTACCTCAACATTGTCAGCTCCATGCTCATTAGCCACTCTGCCGTTTCATTTCTTTTGTCAGCCAGCGTTGCACTGTCTTAGTTGACCATAAAAAGTTGTGGCCAACTCCAGATAAACCACAGTATACCTAAGGATAAACTTAGTAACTTCAATAGATTCATGGTCGACTTCTATATAGCGTTGGTTGGTCTCAAAACTTTAGGTAGCTCGCGGATGTCATGACCGACCCACAGGCGAACAGGCCGACCAACGGGCGACTGGTTTCCTTCTCCACTACTAGTCTTCGTGACTCAGCATCACTTCGAAACAATGATAGTTTGTCACGTCGCGTTCAAACTCTCGTAACAAAGCTCCACAATTCAAATCTACTTCGTCGACCTATGAGGGGTCCGCATGGCCATTCCAAAGGATTAAGAAACTCACGCCGTTGCCGACCGTAACGCATCTTCTTGCTGACACGGCTATCTAAAATCTCTTCTGCATCGTTTTCGCCTTCCTCCATCTCGCGCGCCCAGCGATTCTCCGGCAACAAGCATTCGTCAAAGTCCATCCGGTCGGCCTCGTCCACTTTCAGCCGGTCACTTGGGCTATCAGAGAACTCCCTGACTGTAACGGGGCACCCTTTGTTCGGGGTGCCGAGAAACTTTACGTACACTCGTACGTGCAGAGAAAGCTAGTCTACTCAAACAGCTAGTCTGAGTAAATGGTAAGAAGAGAACCGTATTTAATGTAGTCAAGTTAT